CTCACGCTGGTTGGTAGAATTTGATGACGAAGGCACTCATGGAGAAAAAATAGTTGTTCTCTGGTGGATCCTTGCCGTTTGGCGAAGTCTTCCCACTTTCGAACAGAAAGAAGCGTGTTCCGCTCGTATGATTTAGATATAATAGAGAAGATTTGTAGCTCAGGTGGATGATTTTGGTGTGGTTGCGTTCTCTGAGCTGGATGGTTTGGTTGCGAAGCTTTCATTGCTCTACTGAGCAACATCTTCAGCGCATACTTCGATGTGAAGTGAGCTTTTAGAATTCTCTATGAGTTTATAAGTCATCTCTTCTAGTAACCTTGAACGTGATTGGTTCTTTTCGTGTGACATTTCATCCCCTAGTTTGCTTGTCTCGGTGCTGGTTGCTTCTTTGGTCTGAATGTCGTTAGTCATTTCTTCTGCCAACCTTGAACATGGTTGGTTGTTTTTGTGTGACTTCTCACTTTCTAGTTTACTTGTTTTGGTGTTGGCTGTTTCCTTGACCTGAAGTTTGACTTTGTTTTTGTGTGAATTTCTTCGTATGGACTGGTATATTTTGTCAATCTCTATGTGTCTATTGATTGCTGATTCATTTGAATACCAGGCCTCTAGGAATTCTCTGGCATTTTTGCAGTTCCCTTTGTCTAAGATTTGAACATTGTCCCAGTCGAATTGGTGCCCGTGGTTGTCTGCATGTAGTGATATGAGGGAGTGTATGTCGTGTCTTTTGACAGCTAGTTTGTGTTCGTGAATGCGAAGACGAAGAGGGCGTCCACTTTGACCAATGTAATGTTTGTCGCAGTCGTTGCAACTTATCTTGTAGATGACGTTAGTTTTGTCTTCTTTTGCCGTTGAGTCCTTTGGTTTACATAGAACTGAGTGTAGTGACTTTGTTGGTTTATGAGCGACATCGATTCCAAAAGGTTTGAATAGTCTTGCAGTGATTTCGGAGATATCTTTTATATATGGTAGGACGACTTTCTTTGTGTTTTCGCTGGTGGCCTTTGATTTGGTTGGTTGAGCTGGGGGTAGATGTCTTTTGATGAAGTTTCGTGGGTATCCATTTCTTTGGAAGACGTCCATAAGATGATTTTCTTCAATTTTCCTCAAGGCGGGGGTGCTGCAATGAGTCCTGGCTCTCTTGAACAATGTACGTATGCAGCTAATTTTGTGTGATGTTGGGTTGTTACTGTTGTAATTGAGTATTTGATCCGTGTGCGTTGGTTTTCTGTATACTTGGGTTTCTAATTTTCCTGTAGTTGTTCGTTTGATTAAGACGTCTAAGAATGGGATTTTGTTTTCATATTCTTCTTCTCTTGTGAATTTGATGTCGTTGAAGGTGTTGTTTATTATGTTGTGGGTATTGTCTAAGTTTTCTCTTTTGATTATCACGAATGTATCATCTATGTAGCGTATCCAAATTTTTGGTTTGATCTTTGGCAGAATTATGTTTTCCAGTCTTTGCATGACGGCTTCCGCAATCAATCCTGATATGGGTGATCCCATAGGTGTCCCTTGAATTTGTTCATACATTTGGCCGTTGAATTGGAAATAAGTTGTGAGACACAAGTTTGACCACAGATGTTTACGATCTCTTTCTCGCGTTAGGTGGTATAATAAGGTAAGTAATGTTGACGTTAGGCGTAGAGTGTTGTGGAAATAGGGAAAATCACTCGAAGAGGCTATAAAGTTACATAGATTGAGATGGCTAGGTCACGTGCTGCGCATGCCTAACCATCGTCTCCCCCGACGGGCATTACTACCTGATATAGGTGTAGGTTGGAAAAGAGTAAGTGGTGGCCAAACAAAAACATGGCATCAATCAATCCATGAAATGCTTGACAGTTAAACTGAGTCAGGTAGGGAGGGAGATGCAGACTTCCGGGTTGGGACCCGCCCTCGGGACTCTAAGAATCAATGGCTGGAGACAATAGGTGACATGGCGGAAAATCGTTGTCAATGGCTTACGCAGATGTATTCAGTCTCTGTGATCTTTCATATTCCTTTATACCATTACTCATTCTGTTTCACTCTTATACTTATCTAAATTCTATTGATTCTCTTCTCTCATTTTCCTGTCTACCTTTGTGTGCTATTTGGAACGTGGCAACTGGAACTGGTGCACTTCGGTGCCAAGTTCTATGTTGAATCCAGCAGCAGCAGCAGCAGCAGCGGTCCAGGGTTTGATTCTCGGTCGAAGCACTCTTAAACCTCTCCTCGTTTACTTAGCCAGTAGTGCGCTAGGGAAAAGAGGTAAGTGTGGACGTGGAGCTGGCGATCCCACGCCGTAAGGGAAATAACACTATTGCTGCTGAAATGCTAGAAGCTATTGTAGTCCACTTGGGAGGACGCAAAGGAATGAAACAAAACTGCTGTCGTACAATCACACGCATATATAGTGAAGCTCAACCTCACTGAATAATGCAGTCAGGTTAAATGTGGTAGAATTGAAAAAAGGTCTGTAAAAGATTTATGAGGATTCTGTGTGAAGAGGGACATGGTGTTAGCAGTCGTAAAAAGTAGTGCAGTTTAAAGAAGGAATAAGAGCAATAACTGTAGATAGTAACCAAAAGAGTTTTGTCCTCTGCTGGGGAAGTATTTGGGTGTTTGATACCTTCAGGCTGCTCAGACTATTCAAATTGTTGGTGTTGTTAACTTTTGAGACTGATATTTCTAATCCTTTTTCTCCAGATTGGAGAAACATACTACTATCATAAGGTTTTGTAGTGAATGTCTTGCGGGTGGTTATATGTCACTTTTCTTTTTTTGAAGTGGCGCCACCTGCTTTAACCAATGGGAATTAGGATGTTTCAGTGAATAGGCCAAGCTGTACTAACATGATTTTATGAAAATTTTAACAGTGTACGTTCAACTCGCTGTATGCTGTAGTCCATTCCATTGCTCAGTTATCAGTATCAAGCAACATTTTCGAGTAAAATTACAGCAAATGCAACACATATTAAATTAGTTTATTTTTAAATATCACACAGTAATGCAGTATTAACGACTGATGACAAGTGTCAGGAGACCCCTCAAATAGTTCGCGAGGACTCGCAGGTGTAGGGATGTATGGGTGTATAGGTATTGCATGAGCCCCAACGGGCTGATCGCTGGCTGGTTTTGCATATGCCCGTTTACGCCGTCTCTGGCTTAGCAGACGTGATATCCGGCTGGCTATCGACCGAAGGGCGTGTGTACTGTTCACCAGTCCTCTCCGTCCTCCTTTATGGATGTGAATGAGACATGGCCATTGAGAGTGGAAGACATGAAAAGACCAGCTAGCTGTCTTTGATCATAGTTGCCTGCGTTCTGTCTCCCGTGTTAAGTGGTTTAATAGAGTGAGTGATATCGAGGTAAGGCATTGGTCGAGTGCTAGCTTGGTGGGAGAGGAAATCAATAGACGAGACTGTGAAGTTACATCGATTGAGATGGCTAGGACATGTGTTACGCATGCGTGCCTATCCATCGCCTTCCTCGATGGGCAATGTTAGCTGACATGAGGTCAGGCTGGAAAAGAGCTAGCGGCGGTCAAACCAAAACATGGCTCCACCAGTCAATGAAATCCACAACAGTTAGTTTAAGCCAACCAGCCATTTAGGAAGGTGTAGACTTCTCCAATGAAGGCTGGAGACAATTGGTGATATGGCTCAAAATCGTTGTCAATGGCTGTCGCAGATGTATCCACTCCTTGTGACTTATAATACCCAATGAAACTATATTGTTCTTCGATATTACGATTCTTTTTGTCTCATATCCCTGTTTACTGTCTCCATTTTGCATTTACTTTTACTTTCTTCTCTGGCTTTGTGTGCTGAGTGAAGTGCGGCGACTCGAACTGCTGCACATCGATACAAAGTTCTATGTTGTAACCAGTCACTGTTGAATCTCTAAACAAAGCCTCAGTGATTAACGTCTCTGTGTCTCCACCTAACCATATTCTATCACAGTGCCCATGTTCTACACTTAAAAATGTAAAGCAGTTCAAGAATATAAAACTACCGATAATGTTCATTCCAGAAAAAAGTTTTCAATGCAAAATTTCATTGAAAAATCCTAAAAATAAATAATTTGTCATTAAACCACTATAGCAACGGACTACGATGCTATAGTTGGCGGGGATACACAATATAAAGCCAATCATCTCTTGCCATTCAGCTGAACCAGTTACAGTGCATTACCTCAACCTTTTGTGAACTGATAGACAGTTTCTATCATTCAAGGTCACCCATGAAATAAATATTCGTACCATCAATTATATTGGGCTTCAAAGTATTTATATTACTTGGTTATTTATATTACGTGGTTCTATCTCCCGTGTTAGGTGGTATAATAAAGTGAGCAATAGTGAGGTTAGGCTTCGGTCGAGTGGTAGGTAAGGAGTGGAGATCAATCGACGAGGTTGTGAAACACCTGCATCGATTGAGGGACATGGTCAGACATGTGTTACGCATGCATGTGTAGCCACTGCCTCCTTGGACAGGAAATGTTGGCTGACATAGGATCAGATTGGAAAAGAGCTAGTGGTGGTCAAACAAAAACATGGCCTTATCAGTCGATGAAATTCACAACAGTTAGTTTTAGCCACGTAGGAAGATGCAGACTTTCTGGTTGAGGTATTTGGGATGGTAAGAACCAATGGTGACTGGATACAGACAATTGGTGATACGACTGAAAATCCTTCTTTTCGATGATGGCGAAGATGCATTTATCACTCTTTGTCATGTATTATATCCAATAAAATTCTATTGTTCCTCCACATTACTATTTTTGCCGCCTATCTCACTTTTGAATCTCTTTTTACTCCCCTCTCTTGCTTTTTGTACTACAAGCAGGAAGTGGGGCAAGTGGAACTGGTGCACATCTGTGCAATGTTCTACGTTGAAGCCAGTCAGGCAATCAGGTTATTTTTTATAGTTTATGTATATTTATTAACTCTTAATAGTTTCTCTAAAAAAAGCAACAAATTATAATGACGACAAAAACTATTTTTTTTCTCTCATCAGTATGCTCAGGAAACTGAATTGTTTGTGATACGTCAACGTCAGAAAGGACGAATAAAATTGGTAACGCTTTTTCCAGATGTGAGAGTAAGTCATGATTATTTGCTTCCTTTGTTTTTCATTCCATTTAATTGTAATCATCTTTACTATGCAATGGCCTATTATTATCTTATATGACTTTATGAATAAGTTTTTTTGGAGGGGTGAGATTCTGTTTATATATTTATGCGTAACCTTCATCAACAACTGTCTTCGCTCAGTACTTCGCTCAAGATCAGATGGCCAGAAATAGACCAGATCTCTGGGAGCGAACCAACCCAGCAGGAACCAATCGGGCAACAAATATGCGGGAAGAAATGGAGATGGATTGGCCATACTCTGAGATATCACACGACAGGCTCTCGAGTGGAACTCGAATGGGAAGCGGCGAGTTGGTCGTCAGTGCGAGGGTGACATGGAGGAGGTCATGTGGAGAGGAGATGAAAGCATGTGGGTAGACGTGGGGCCAGGTGAAAACGTTGACAGAGAACCAAACACAATGGAGACGTATGGCTGAAGCCTTATGTTCCTCTAGGAACTAAAGGAAACAATAATAATAATATACTGACAAAGCCTGAAGACACATATATTTCTATCTAGTGAAACATAAATTCTATTTAATATGTTTTGAACTGCAGTCACCTTTCAAAAGCCCTGCTAGTGAATTTCATCAGAGTATGTCTAGAAAGTTAATATTTTGAAGAGCATGCAGAATACCTCTAGGTAGACTAAGGGCAGAGTTAATTAAGATTTTAAAATTTTCTCTGTCTCTAATCTTTGCATTGAGGAAACTTTGACGATACCTCTAAAAAGAAGTAAGTGATGATGATGAGTTTGCTATCTGTAGTATGCAGATGATATTATCTTACTGCGTGATAACATACAGCCCACCCAGATAACATGTAATCAGGTGATGATCACTGTCATTAAGTATGGTATGTGCTTTGCACTGTCCTAGTTCGGAAAACATTTGGAAGACTTTCAGTAACCGGTTCCTGCACTTACCCTCAACACAGGTAAGCTCCTTTTAAAAGTAGTCGAAAAGTTCGTGTATCTAGATGGTTATTTGAATGCTTGTGTGTGCAGTCGAGGTATTATTATTATTATTCCCTTGAATTCTTGTGGAAGATTAGGCTTCAACAACACATCTCCACTTTGTTCTACTTTCTACCATCCTCTTTAGCTGGGTCCATGGTTGCCGAAACTCTCTTGTATCTTCCTCACATGGTCTCTTCCATATCACCATCACACCGACGACCCGCTCATCGCTTCCCATTGGGATTCCACTCGAGCTATGGTGTGGCGCACGATGTCATTCGACGGTCTCCTCAATGTATATCCGATGCATCTCCATTTTCTTCTACATATTGGTTCGGCGATTGGCTCTTGGTTGGTTTGTCGCCATTTAATCCTCAGTATGGAGTAAAGGCATCCGTTGATAAAAGTCTGCAACCTGTTTGAAATCCTTTTCGTGACCCACTGGCCAAGTTTCGAACCCGTATAGGACCGACTTGACATTTGTGTTGGAAATGAGAATCTTGTTCCGTATGCTGAGGCTGAGTGCAGAAGATTTCCAAACTGGTTTCAGGTTGATGGAGGCGTATCGTGACTTTCCGATTCTGACTTTGACATCTTCATCCGTTCGGTGTGTCTGTATTTGAAACGATGCTTCTTAGCCGAATAAGTGAAGGAAGTAACCTCTGTTAAATCTCTCCCGTTGATGGTGATTGGTGCTGGTTGCTGTTGTTGTTGAGTTTCGTTAATTATCTTCATCACCTCCGTCTTCTCTATGTTCGTTTGTTGAGGTGGTGAGGTGACATCTCCAACCTTATAGCGAATGCCAGAAAGACTTGTAGGCGGAAACCAACAAACTGGCTGAAGGGGTAGGCAGCAAAGATAAGACTGCGGGTGAGCATAGAGAAGACGGAGGTGATGAAGATAACCAATGAACCGTAACAGCAACAATAACCAACAACAATCACTATCAACAGAAGACACTTGAAAGAGGTTACTTCCTTTACTTATTTGGGAGGCGTCGTTTCAACCACAGGCACACGGAACGGATGAAGATGTCAAAGCCGGAATCGGAAAAGTGAGGTACACCTTCATCAACCTGAAGTCGGCTTGGAAATATTCTGCACTAACTCAGCATAAACAGCAAGATTCGCATTTTCAACACAAATGGGAAGTCAGTCAGTCACTTCTTCTGTATGCCTCAGAAACTTGGCCATTGCGTCATGAAAAGCATTTCCAATAGGCTTTTATCTACAGTTGCCAACTCCACTGGCTCTAAATTGAAGATCAAATTACTGGCTGCTCACAAAGAATTAGCAACACGAAACTTTGGCTGGGAACAAACCAACCAATAACTGATTGCTCAACAAATATGTTGAAGAAAATGGAGATGGGTTGATCTGGCATACAGTGAGGAGATCGTCGAATGACATCGCGCTTAATGCAGGCCATCGCTCGAGTGAAATCCGAGTGGGAAACGATGAGTTGGGCTTATAGACAATTATGGGCCAACCTGAGGAGGATAACTGAAAATGCAACAAAGTGGAGATGTTATATTGAAGCCCTATATTCCACTTGTAACTCAAGGGAACAATAATAATTATTATTTTGTGCAGCGCATTTCTTGATGTCTATACTTAGTTGCACTAATGAAAACTTTTATGTAATATTCAATTTTGTAGTCTATGGGGTTACAACTGAGTTACTTTGTGTAAAAATACGCTTGCTATCTTATGTGGAATGCAGTGCATGGTGATGTTGAGTGGTTGATGATGGATTTCAAAGGTAGAGTTAATCGACAGAGAGTGTTGTGCTCTTGTTTCTTGCTCATCAATTCACCCTCACGATGTGTGTACTAACTGTTGTGGAAATACATGTCTTAACTTATATAATTTTGTATCATGAAGTGATTCATATTCTAAGTGACGCATTGTTGTTGAACTGATTGCATTTACGAACACTTCTCCGAATAATAACGATTTCAGTTATCTCTAGCCCAAAGTTTGGGTTGGTCGAAGTCTGTCTGTCATGTTCAAATTAAACAATGTTTATAACATTCAGTTTTTTTTGTCTTGCTTTTACATTGATCACCAGTCAGTATTCAGGAATATTCGACTGAAGTTACGTGGAAATCTGAATTGAGGAAGCAATTTTTAACCAGCCACCTTTTGCAGTCTACCAAATAAACTATAAGAACGAATTACTAGGCTTTATGTCAATCAGCTGTTAGATAATTATACAATTATACATCTCATCCAACAGCTGTAGGACAATGCTGCATGCCGAGTAATCCACAACGGGAAACTTACGGAACCCTTTGAAGTGAGGACAGGAGTAAGACAAGTTGGCTGCCTACTATCGCCAATGATTTTCCTGATTGCAGTAGACTGGATAATGCGACAAACAGCGGACAATGAGGAAACAGGCATAAAATGGACCCACACAAAAAAACTTGGAGGATCTGGACTTCATCGATGATATGTCTGATTTCCCACAAACTGGAAGATATATGCAAGCAAAAAGCAACAAGTTGGCAGAAGAAGCATCCAGAGAAGATAGGACTTCAGGTGAACATAGATAAAACAGAGGTGATGAAAATTCCTGGGCAACACCACCAACAGCAGCAACAACAACTGACAACAATCAGCATAAACGGGAGGAACCTAAAAGAAACAACCTCCTTCACCTACCTACCTTGGAAGCGTCGTTTCAACTACATGCGGAACTGACGAGGATATCAAAGCAAGAATCGGAAAAGCAAGACAAGCTTTCACTACTCTCAAGTCTGTGTGGAGGTCAACAACACTCAGCATCAAAAATAAGATCCGGATTTTCAACTCCAATGTGAAGTCAGTCAGTGCTACTCACTATACGGATCAGACTTGCACTGCGTGTCATAAAGAGCATTTCAAACAAACTACAGACCTTCATTAACAGTTGTCTTCGCTCATTACTTCTCAAGATCGGATGGCCAGAAAAGATCAACAACAGAGATCTCTGGAAATGAGCGAACCAACCCAGCAGGAACCGATTGTGAAACAAATAGGCAGGAAGAAATGGAGATGGATTGGCTGGCCATACTCTGAGGAAACAATCCATCAAGTGACATCACTAGACAAGCCATTGCTCGAGTGAAACGCGAAAGGGAAGCGGCGAGTTGGTCGTCAGTGCGAAGGTGGGTTGACTTGGAGGAGGTGATGTGAAGAAGAGATGAAAACGTGTGGGCAGACATGGAGCCAGGTGAAGACTCTAGCAGAGAACAGAACGCAATGGAGACTCACGGCTGAAGCCCTATGTTCCTCTAGGAATTAAAGGATACAATAATAATAATAGTTGGTTTGTAGGGATTTAATTTGATTGGTTGGAGGATTTCATCATGAGCTGACATCGGTTAGAGAACCATTGAAAAACCACCGAGAAGTACTGGAAAGCCAGTTATTTCGTTCTAGTGCCTGGGATTATTCGTCAGTACGCACCCACCGACGATTCACGACATAAAGCGACCACTTTGCAACGTCCTCTCCTTCAACCTGTTGTACCCTGTTGATCATGGCTACCCACTAGAACCCCAGGTAACAGGTAACTGCCTACCTGTCTCTAATGAGCATTAAATAAGTTAAAAATCCCTTATCCCCATTTAAAAAAATATCTTTATGCCTTAATTTTATCATAGATACGACAGTATAAAGGGAAAAATTTAACACGTGAACATGTTGGAAATAGTTTAACTCAGGTGAATTCAAAGGATGCTTTATCACCCTTTCCTGATCGGACGGCGGAATTGTGCAGTCGACGATTTTTGGCAACATGCTTAAATCTACATTCAAAAATTCGGGCCAATATAGATGTATCGGGTAGTACATCTGCTTATATTGAAAATGTGAGTTAATAATAGTCTTCTAATATTATGTTTTTAGCGTTTTTCAATTGAATTATTTATTGAAATATATACACATTTACAAACAGTTATTACTGTTACTATTAACATCTGATAGATATTGTATTACCTTACTTCCTTAAATAGTTGAACAATAGAAGATAATTCGGCGGAGAAAATTCTCTTTATCGACACGCTGTTTAGACAAAGAGCTTGAGTGGCAACGAAGTCGCCATTGAGTCCTTTACTTGTAGATTGCTTTCTGGCAAGTCTAGCGAATAGTATGTTATGGCCCACTATCGATAGTTTCCATTTGTACCAAAGACACATAGATGATACTTTCATCATATGTGACGAGAATACTAACATCGAAATGAAAACTAAAGAGTTCAACAGCTGCCATCATGCCATCCAATTCACATCAGTATCGGAGATGAACTCGGAATTTTATTTTTTGCATGTTTTGCTAAAAAGGAGATCTGATGGTTCTCTTCAGAGATCGATCTCCAGGAAGCCAACATGGAATGGTCAATACACGAATTTTCATAGTTGGGTCCATTTGAGAAGAAAGAGGAATCTGACCTACTCCTTATCCTCAAGAATAAGAAGGATATGTACCAGTGATATAATCGATGGGGAACTGGAGAGACTGAGACAAGTCCTCATGGAAAATGGATATCCTCCAACATTCATCGAGAAAAACATGTAGGTAAAGCCACAACCTGAAAGAACCCATACGGTGCCGAAGAAAGTGATATTTATGAACGTTGAATTTAGAGGTAATACCGCTACTGACATTGTGAAGAACCGCTTATGCAGATCACTGGGAAAAACCTTCTTTGCGGCTGAGTTACGCATCAATTTTTGCAGCCGACAAATGATCAATGGATGTGTGAAGGACAAACTACCGCTTTGGATGGGTCACTTCAATGTGTGTTTATAAAATCACCTGCTCATATGGAGCTAGTTATATCGGCCGGACAAAGCGAACACTTTCCAAACGCATCTCTGAACATTATCCCGCATGGTTAGCGAAAGGACAATGCATGACAGTTACTATGTGAATTCTCCGCCACTTGGTAAACTCAAACGTAGCTTCATCAGAGTCGTCTTTCAAGATCATCTACAAGGTAAGACCAAGTGGTACAAAGGGTGCTAGGTTTCGGCATTTGTGTCTGGCGGAGGCGTTGGTGAGTCGTCAATACAACCCCGAACTCTGTGTGCAGAAAAAGTTTGTCCAGTCTCTCTCTTGTTCTACCATGCTCTTAACCTCTTCATTAGTCGTTCCCTGGAAATTTTGTTATCATTTAATGTTGCTTTTAGTTTAATAATTAATTCACTGCTATCACTCTCACGTGTTCCTTTTGTACATTTTCTCACCCTCTTCACACTTGTTAAATGGACACTCAACCACTTTTCCTCTCACTACTCAATAGCAATTTTAACCTTATCAAATTTCTAACCCGTTCTTCTTTTGTGCCGTTGACTACTACGTAATTTGCGACTTTGATTTTTATTTGTAAAGCCACTTCTGAGTAATTATATCAATTATGTCACCCTCCACCTATTACTCAATAATAAACTAGTATACATTTTTGGTAAATATAAGAAGATGATTTCGTCGATGAAGAAAATTTTCTTCACTGAATTGTCTTTTATTTTCTTCTTGACTCGATGGATATTTTCCGTGAATCAAATAAAATATATATATATATATTGTCTGAGCTTTTTCTCACTGTTCCTATGTCAGTATTAAGTGTGTTATTGATGTGGGGATTATCTTCTCGCATCCATCCTCGGCTCTTTTTAAAGATAGTGGCGAGATTCTCGTCATGTCTCTGACTTGTTTTGTTCAGGAAAGTATGGGACATTGAGGATGTGCCATCATTGTGCAATGAAGCCACCATCATCCCGATCTGTAAAAAGGGGTCGATGACCATAGGGGTATCAGTTTTTCGTCAATCGTGTCTAAAATATTGACTGCTGTCTTGCTTCGCAGGCTATGCGAAACACGTTAGGAGTTGATTCATGAAGAGCAGGCTGGGTTTCGTTCAGGCCGTGCATTGGTCATGCGTTCACTATTTGTTGGTTGTTGGAACACCACCACATGTATTGCAGGCCAACAATCTTTGTATTCCTGGATATTAAAGCTGCCTTCGATTCGTTGGACAGAACTATTCTCTGAAACTGTCTGTTAGGGATGGGTCTATCTGAAAAGTTTGTTAACATCCTGAAAGCCCTACTGAAATACTTCAGGTAGAATGAAGGCATACGACCAACTATTATCACTGTTCCCAACCAACAGTGGGTTAGACAGGGTTGCCCGATTTCTCCGTTTCTCTTTAACTTTGCCATTGATAACATTCTGGAGTCAACTCTGAACGACGTGCGTGATGGTGGTGGTGGTGCGGATCCGCTTCCTGGATAATGACTCTTCGACCGCGAGTATGCAGAATATATCGTCTTAAGGTGCGATAGCATGCAGGCTGCCCAAATCGCACTTAATCAGTTGTTGGTCAGTGTCTGTAAGTATGGTGTGGGCTTCGCGACATCTAAGTGCAAGGTACTGTTACAAGATTGGCAGGAGCCTGTACCTGCACTCACTCCTGCAAGTGAACCGCTTGAAGTTGTTGATAGGTTTGTGTATCTGGGTAGTTGTGTGAGTGCTGGTGGAGGTTTGATGGACGAGATTCCCAACCGTATCGAGGAGGCTAGGGTGGCACGCCTGAAATTGAGCCATCTCTGGTGCCGTTTCGACGTTAGTCTGGCTGTCAAACGTCGTGTTTACAATGCTTCCGTGCACACTGTTTTGTTCTGTGCCTGTGAGACCTCGCCTTTCCGAGCTTAGAGTGTTCGACGACTCTGCGCATTCGATTACCGTTTTTTCCGTAGAATTGCCTGCGTTCGATGGTATCATCACGTGAGTAATTCTGAGGTCTGGCAGAGTTTGTTTGTACACAGTGGAAAGTACCATTCGTTGAGTGTTGTCATCTGGAAACACTGGCTCCGGTGTCTGGGTCATATGCTAGGGACGTCATCCCATCCATACCGGTTTCTGTTCGCAAACCCTGGGACGGGATGGAAAAAGTGGAGAGGTGGTCAGCCCATGATGTGGAGTCGTGGGATGAAGAATATTTGTGATGGGTTAGAATCGGTTGGTGCGTCACAACTCATTGATTGGGGTCCGAGAGATAGCTCGAAACGTTATTGAATATGTCTAAGAATCTCAATCAATGATGAACATGCTGTAATTTCCTTCTTTCTTCCCTTTCTGACAATAATTCAACGAATGCTGTTTGGTCTTGTTAAATATAACTGCTTTCTTCCCAGTTGAAGTCGACCGAGAGGTTCTATGGCATTGTTCGACCGTGAAGGGAATGCCGAGAAAATACATCATATTGATCAAGGCACTCTACTCGAACTCTTTAAGCCAGCCAGGAGAGCTTACAGCGAGTTGTCATCTGAAGTGGTGACAACTATTGATGTCCGTCAGTGATGCCGACTATCCCTATTTCTATTCGATTTCAATGGAAAAGGCATCGGCGATTGGTAACACCAGACAACTATTCAGGCTTATCAGGGAAACAGGTGGCAAAAGGCAAATGATAAGCGAAACAATCTCGGAGAAAAATGGCACCATAATTAGCTCCCAGGATAGACGATTGTAACACTGGAAAGAACACTTTGAGGAGCAATTCAATTGGCCTACAGACACGCTCAACCTGCCGAACATCCAACACCTCCCTGAATGGGATATAGACACATGTCCTCCGTCATTAACTGAGGTTACTATGGCTATCACTAGTCTGAAACGAAGCAAAGCAGCGGGACCCGATGGAACGACTCCAGAAGTATTTAAGCACTGTGGAGACAGTTTACTGTTTCCATTAACTGAGGTACTAGGCAGCGTCTGGGAATCAGAGAAAGTCCCATTGGGTTGGTGTAAGTCACTGATTATCCCGATATACAAGAAGGGAGACAAGTCTTCTTGTGATAATCACAGAGGGATTAGCTTGACTAATATAGTATCTGAAGTCCTAGCCTCAATAATATTGCGTAGACTAATTGGTGCTCGGGAAGCACAAATACGAGAGAACCAGAAGGGCTTTAGACCAGAAAGAGAGTGTATTGATCATATCTTCACCCTTCAACAGATTCTGAAACATAGTCACACTTACCGGCGGCGTCCAACAATCGTTATATTTCTTGACGTAAAGGTGGCATTCGATTCTGTCGACTGAGAGGTACTCTGGCGATGCTTGACTGTAAAAGGAATGCCTAGAAAATACATTGGACTGATCAAGGAACTCACTCTACTCGAAATCATGCAGCTAGTCAGGTGAGGGCTTACGGCGAGTTGTCATCTGAAGTGGTGACGACTAGTGGTGTCCGACAGGGACGCCCACTATCCCCATTTCTATTCAGTTTCATCATAGACGTACTAATGGAATTATCCCTAACTCATTCAGAGACTGAGGGATTGACTTTCTACCAGGGAATAATCTCGTTGACTTAGAATATGCAGACGATATAGTCCTTCTAGACGAGGACGCTGACAAAATGCATTCTTCTGAACACCTTGAGCTGCAATCTACGAATGTTTGGCATGCGAATCGCTCCCAACAAATGTAAGATGATGAGGCTAAAGGACTGGATTCCACTGACTCCTAGTTTAGAAATAGGTAGTGAAGTGGTAGAGCGCGTTGACCGCTTCACTTATTTGGGAAGTACCATCAGCCCCAACGGGTTGATCTCTGACGAAATCTAAGAACGGATACAGAAGGCTGGTTTCGCATATACCAGTTTACGCCATCTCTGGGGTAGACCTGATATCCGACTTTCGACCAAAGCGCGTGTGTAATACTCAGTAGCCCTATTGCTCCGTCCTCCTTTGGATGTCAGTGAGACATGGCAGTTGCAGGTGGAAGACATGAAAACGCTGACTAACTGTCGTTGATTTTGTGTGTCTGCAATCTATCTCCGGTGTGAGGTGGTATAATAAAGTGAATAATATTGAGGTTAGGCTTCGGTCGTGTACGGGGTATGGAGAGAAAATCAACTGACAAGATTGTGAAGCATCTGCATCGATTGAATGAGATGGTTAGGCTATGTGTTATGCATGCATGTCTGGCCGTTGGTCGCTTTCCTTGACACACAATCTAAGCTGACTGACATAGGATGGATCAAGTTGAAAAAGAGCTGCTAGTGGTTGGTGGTCAAAAGAAAACATCACTTCATCAGTCAATGAAATACACAACAGTTAGTTTAGGCCAGTCAGCCACGTAGAGAGGTTTAGACTAGCTAGCTGGCTGGTTGGTTGGGTCCTCGGGATGATAAAACCAATGGCAGCTGGAGAGAATTGTTGATACTGCTCAAAACCTCTCTCAATGGCGCAGATACATCCACACTTTGTAATTTGTCATATCCAATCTGGAAATCTTCGTCACTCAGCCTGCATCAACAACAAAGTGATTCGGATTTTCAATACAAACATCAAGTCAGTTCTTCTATACGGATCAGAAACTTGGCGGCGGGTCACAAAGAATATTTCCAACAGCCTGTTGCAGACCTTTATCAACAACTGTCTTCGCTGGCTCTATACTGAAGATCAGATGGCCGGAAAGAATCACCAACAAGAAACTATGGGAACAAACAAAACAAGAACCAATCGATCAACAAATATGCAGGAGTAACTGGAGATGGATTGGACACTCACTCACTGGGGAGGCCGTTGGGTGACATCGCGCGTCAGGCCAATGCTCGAGTGGAACCCGAAAGGGGAGCGGCGAGTGGGACGTCCAAGGGTGACATAGAAGAGATCGTGTGAAGAGGAGCTGATACAGTATGGACTAACATGGATGCAGGTGAAAAGTAACGCAGAAGACAGAAGCAAGTGGAGACGTGTAGATGAAGCCCTATGTTCCACTAGGAACCCAAGGGAATAATAATAATATATAGTGCGTCGGTGGCACAGTGGTTAGGACTCTCGCCGACCATGCACATGGTCCGGGGTTCGATCCCCTACCGACGCACACCCGATATCTATGGTCGGCCTGCAAAATTTGGGCTACCGATATCCATGCTGAAAATTCCATACTTGTACTGAAAATACGGTGTGGCATCAAGCTGTAATCAAAAATAAAATTAAAAAATAAAATAAAGCTCTATTTTTCTCGCATACTATCATTCCTTTTGTCTCACTATTTTAATTATTATCTCCTATTACCTCTGTTCTCTAGCTTTGTGTGCTACAAGGTGGAAGTGTGTGTTGAGTTGAACTGGTGCACATCTGTGCAAAGTAGTTAATTTTTGTTGTTTTCATCTGAAATTTTGTTGTTGTTTATTTTTTTAGCCTGAACCATATTTCGTCACCATGTTTCTAGTGGATGTGAACGATGGATGTCGTGTTAGTGAAGATTTTTATTGGAATCCGAATTCGCCCATCATTGATTCTATGCTGCCTTCTGATCAATTCAGATCCTTACCATGGTTATCATCATCATCATCAAATAACACAGTGTCTGATATAAAAAACCAATCGACTGATATCAATGATGCGAATTCATTAAATCATAATTCATCTAGCCCACACCATAATACAACACCTGGTCGAATACGTGGACATGCACCACCTCCACCACAGAATAATTTAATTTCACCATATGGTACACAGAATTCGATTTCTTTGGATTGTTTGCACAAATGTCGTTCAGTAAGTTTGTATATTTATTTATTTATTAAACTATTTAATCATGACTATATTTTGTCTGATATATAATTGGCGCTCATATGACTTTGAATTGACCTTATAGAGATTAATTGCTGCACAGTTCTTGTTTAGGCAGGTGTGAGTGTACATGTATGCTAAACATATATATATATATATATATATATATAGTGTATCTCATGTAGTCTTGTGTTGTTTCGAGCCGTCTAGTATATTTTGACTAGATTAAATCGGTTCACATCTGGTTTAATTAAAAAAAAATAATATTCAAGTGTTGGTTTGTAGGGATTTGATTGGTTACAGGATTTTCATCATGAGCTGACATTAGTTAGAGAACCATTGGAAAACCTGGGAGTACTGGAAAGCTGTTTCGTCCTAGTTTGGGACTCTTCATCAGTAAGCACCCGCCGGGATTCGAACCCAGGACCTTCTGGTTACAAGGCGAGTATTTGTCCTCACACCCGACCTGCTGCACCCTACTGCTGAAGAGTCCCAAACTAGGACGAAACAGCTGTCCAGTACTTCCAGGTTTTTCAATGGTTCTCTAACTAATGTCAGCTCATGATGAAATCCTGTAACCAAAAAAATTATAATTTAAAATTCGTTAACACTGTAGAATTCAAAATATCATGTTGAGACTTTTATTCAATAGTACCTTCGCCTCTCGTTTCACTTACTGGTGTAGACGTTTTGAATTGCAGATCACGGAAATCCTATCTTGTGGTTGAATTCTAACATGCTTTGCACAAGATCTGACTGAATAATTCAACTTAGTAGGTTCATGGCTTCTAAGCTGAGACATAACGGCTGTTCGTTCAGTGTTCATTTTGTTTTTAAGGATTCTACGGCTGATGCTGCTGCTCTCTGTGTTGTAGACTTATGCCGGTTAGAGGCTATCGACAAGAAGCATGTGTACTTAGGTTTCGTTGCTCAATTAGCGCTTATCATCAGACGTATCTACAAACTCAAAGGCAGTGATGCCTACTCGGAGATTCTAATTTGCATCACTCAGTACATCAGTCAGAGACGTGACGCAATGTAGGACTGTGACAGACACATTGATTGATTGTTAAGGTGTATGTATCTAATACCATGTATGTATTCCCTAGTTTTGGTACTGACTGAATTTTATTGTCTAGTGTATTATTTACTACTTTGAGTAGACCTGAACGTTATTCACTGCTCTTTTAAAAAAAAAGAATATTGAAGGCATTATAATCCACCTTGAAGAATAGGGTTTAACATTTGAATCGTTAATAAAAAAAATTATTCAAGTATTGTTTTGTATGGATTTGATTGATTGGTTACAGGATTTCATCAAGAGCTAAAATCAGTTAGAGAACCATTGGAAAACCACCCGGCAGTACTGGAAAGCAGCTGTTTCCTCCTAGTACCTTGGACTCTTCATCAGTACGCACCCATCGCCAGGGGGTTCGAACCCAGGACCTGCAAGGCGAGCGAGCTCGTAGACCACTCAGTAGTCACTGGGAGACGATCCAATGACCAACCAGTCCATGAATTCTAACTTCTGCCAATTCACGACATAGAGCGACTTGCACTAGCCAATGGTCATCGGTGGCTTGTATTTGTACTCATGCCCGACCTGCTGTACTGGGATCGGCTCCCAATGGCTTAACGGTCTATGAGCTTACTGGCCTTGTAACCAGAAGGTCCTGGGTTCGAACCCTGGAGGTGGGTGCGCACTGATGAATAATCTCAAGCACTAGGACGAAATAGCTGACTGTCCAGTACTTCTTGGCGGTTTTCCAATGGTCCTCTTAACGTTGTCAGCTCATGATGGAATCCTGTAACCATAAGGAAATTATTATTGTAAAGTTTGATTTACAGATTCGAACGAACAATTTAAATGGTAGGCATAAGGTCATGTGTCTAAAAATGTTTGATATCTCAGTAGGTAATGTTCTGTCTAGTAGTATAGTGTACATTCAGCTGCAAGCTATCCGACTAGTGGATATACTATCCATGATGAACTTCAACAAACCTTTTGATAAAATCAAATTCAACTTTTTGCTAAATTCAATATGTCTAGTGAAATCCCATTGTGGTTTCGCTTTGTGTTTTTAACTTCGTTCAGGATAGAGTATTTTTGATTTTGCTTTACTTACATAACGAGCTATGTAAGCACCTTTCACATCTGTACAGCTTATATCGCTTTATGAAGCTATTTTAAGGTGAAAGGAAAAAAATCTAAAACTGTTAGTTATATGTTGACTTCAATAAGAAACGAAGTGACTACAGCATTTTTAATAGTCGATATGTATAATGTGGAGTACCGATGGACAAGTGGACAAATGTTTCGTCCATTGCTGTTTAACTTACTAACCTCAGGAGACGTGATCATGTATGTACTTTTGTGGGTGCATGCATTTTACAATTAAACAATCAATTGGTTCCCCTCACACATACCATTCAACTTGGATTGATTCGTACATACATGACAAACTGGGTCTTTTCTTTTCTCTAGGCTTTTGATGACATCAGTTGACATTTTCATTTTTTTAACCTTGTACTTAGATGATAATTTTATGCATGGTTAGTTTACTTGTCAATTGATGGTGTCTATACCTTTTGATAAACTTCATACATTCATTCCCCTTTATGAATTTGAATAAAGCAAGAACAACAGTGGCTTGTGCAGAATAAAATAGTACCATCCTTTATTTTCTTGGCTTCCTATCTGCTCAGCTACGCACAGCCTAAAGACACTATTAAGTTTATGTACACAAACAATTTTAACATATTCACAACACAGAGAGTTCATTCTTTCTGATTAAAAGTGCCCATTAAAATTTTTCTCAAAACAGTGGTTACTGAACAAGGAATATTCTTTTCGATAACCTCTTCTTCATCAGGTTCTACAGTTATATATACAATATAGTGAACGAATTAGTGTTATTAACAACATTAATGTTGTTTAAATAACATCGAATCAATAATAATGTCAGTGGATTACAATTCAGTAGCATCAACATAGCAACAAACTGAATGTCAGAAAAATTAGGAAAGATAATAATACAAATTCATGAATTTGCAGTCTCCACTGAAGGCCGACCAGGGTAATATTAGTGGCTGGACTTGCTTCTTTTGCACACAAAGCACTGGTGGTTGTTTCACGCGAATCGCGATAACCTCTACTGTTTATAGTATGCGGTACCTGGATGTTTTTGGCAATTTATTTGGTACTCCGTAGAAGGGTAAATCCCTGATTTTCTGAACATGTACCAAAAAGCCTACGTCTCAAGAGAACGAAGGCTTTCAGCAGTGTCATTACCAAGCATCTCCTTGACACGGGTAATGAGGTGCACGTAACAAGATCCCTCAAAATTATCAATACGCAAAAGAGTTCAATTGTCTTCAAGTTTGCTGAAAAAACCTCCATCAAGCGCCTGAAACGCGATTTATACGTTGTTCAGAAGGAAGCGGTTATCAGTCTTTCCTTGCCCTGGTGACTAGATGTCTTCATCCTGTCTTTAATTTGAGTATATATATAGATTTTTGTTTAAAAATTAATTCTCTGTGTATGTTAAAATTGTTTCTGTACATAAACTTAATAATGTCTTTGCGCTGTAAGCAGCTGATGAGTAGGCAGAGAAATGAACAATTATGGTAGCATTTTATTCTGCACAAATCTCTGTTGTTCTTACCTTTTGATAACTTGATAGAAATACACATAGCTGTTAATCTCTGCTTTGCTTTCTTTATCTGAAATTCTCATGTTGTAATTTATTTTGCATAAAATTGTTTTCTTCAGTAAAAGTAGGAACAAAAATAGCCTGCATCAAAAACAATTTTTGTCGTTGTTGTTGTTGTATTATTGGGATTACAGCTTGTAGGCAACTTGTTGGTGGTTTATTTTGAAACATATATTAGTCGCCTGTGAACATGCATAACTATTTCCTTTTCTTCCCGTTTTTGACACAGAAGAGATAAACTGTCAACATGGCCGGGGTTAGGGTGGGTTGAAGAAAGGCTGTTCGATTCCTCTGAAGGATGCGGCATCGTTTGCTTACAGTTTTAAGAGAAATATCAACAAATGGAAAATAGTCTGTCTATTAAGAGTATACAAAAGCCGATAGGAAAGGGTAATAAACAGGGCCTGTGCATAGTAGTAAGAGAGGAAAAATAGTGTCAAAACAGTAATTTATAATCCTCCAGACAAACTTATTAGGGGATTGATCTTCCAAGTTGTTGATTAGTTTGTCTTCTGTACGAAGCTGTTAACTTTACTGCAATCTAGCTTCAGTTTCCGAGTATTATTTTCAAGTCGTTGTGTGAATGAGTTTTGTAGGGATTTGAGTCAGTTATGAAGCGAACCACTAAACACCATGACGTAATGAGAATCTGTTTCGTCCTGGTTTGCGACTCTTCATCAGTGCTCACCCACTATAATATTAGGGACCAAACTAGAAGCTCGGATTCATGCGTCACTGAATACCAACCTAGTGGCTAGACAGATGGTCAGCGGGCTAGTCTTGTAACCTGGACTTCTTGGGTTTGATCTCTGGTAGCGGGGGGGGGGGATTGGGTGGCAATAAGTACCCACTGCTGATTTTGTAACTGATCTAAGTTTGTGACGAAATCCACATTGAAATATAATATTATCAGCACTAGAATTAATTATTTTATCACTTCTAGACGATGCACTAAAAACTCAACCAAACTATTTTCACGAGTTGATCACGGATTGATATCAGCTAGAGAACCATTGAAAACCCGGAGAGAGTACTGGAGAACTGTTTCATCCTAGTTTGGGAATCATCGCCAGTATGAACCCACCACCAGGGTTCGAACCCAGGACCTTCCGGTTACAAGGCAAGCTGGCTCATATATCATTCAGCAGCCACTGAGACCTGATTCAATTACCAGCCCATGAATTCTAACTTCTACCAATTCGTGATTTCAGCGCGACCCCAACCATTTTTCTCTAGCTGATATCAATCCGTGATCAACTCGTAAAAACAAAACTAATCCCATACAAACCAAACTATAGTAAACAAACTATTTTCATTTCCGGCTAAATTAACTTAGTTTCTGAAGAAAGGATGATGAAATGATTGGCTTTTAAAAAGAAGACTGACTAGTATAGAAAAACCGAATTCAGCAATTGGTACATTGTCGCAGGACATTCTTCATTCACATCAATAATTAGCCCTCTGTTTGATTCCTTTTGCAACGTAGATTACTTTTTAAACCCGAATTATATCATCTTTATGTATACGAAGATAATTTTTATAAAGGAGTAGTAAGGAAGTAAGTAGGTAAGTGACGCAACATAATTGACAGGATTGAGTAGGACTCAGCTAAAATTGAAAGGGGATTAAGTTAAAAATCAGTGTCATGAAGAATAGAAATGTAGCAGTGGGAAGGAGGGTGCTAATAAGATTTTAAAAATTACAATTAACGAAAATTACATATCAAGTGTAGTGAAAAATTATGTCTGTTGTCTGCTCTGCCAATTGAACACACTTCTTTTGTATACAGTGTACAGAAAGTTTATTCAATCGCCGAATGAATCTACAATGATACGTGATTTTCGTTAATCTCGATAATTTAAAATTTTATTATTATTATTATTATTATCCCCCTTCACACTGCGACATTTCTACTCTTCATGAAATTGATTTTAAATTAACGCCCTTTCATCTCTAGTCGATCTCTACTCAGTCCTGTCAATTATGTTACGTCACTTAATCTATATATTTAATTCTACTACTCGATGAATGCTTTCTCCATTATTATCATTATTATTGTTCCCTTGGGTTCCTAGTGGAACATAGGGCTTCAACTGCACGTCTCCACTTGTTTCTGTCTTTTGCTGTACTTTTCACCTGCGTCCATGTTAATCGATACTGTTTCAATTCCTCTTCACACGATCTCCTCCTTGTCACCCTTGGACATCCCACTCGCCGCTTCCTTTTCTGGTTCCACTCGAGCACTGGCCTGACGCGCGATGTCACCCAACGGCCTCCCCAGTGAGTGAGTGTCCAATCCATCTCCAGTTACTCCTGCATATTTGTTGATCGATTGGTTCTTGTTTTGTTTGTTCCCATAGTTTCTTGTTTGTGATTCTTTCCGGCCATCTGATCTTCAGTATAGAGCCAGCGAAGACAGTTGTTGATAAAGGTCTGCTTTCTCTATTACGTAATCGTTATCAAAAGCTGCTGATTTTTATAACAAACCTGTAGAAATACCTATTTTATAACTGTGGCAATGTAATATACATATATATGTTTGCAGAGCTTGAGAATGATGTCACTTAATAAGAGAAACTCTTCCCTGAACTCACCTTATGTATGACTTAATGGGAATTTTTAACCTACTCCAAGGTTGCAGAGATAATTTTTGCTAACTGAGGTTGCGTCGCATGTATCAATGGTACAGTGGTAGAACGCTCGCCACCCGTGCAAGTGGGCCAAGGTCCGATCCTCTGCCGACGCACTCCTAAACCTCTCTAATCCGGTAATGAGGGAAGGTTGCACGTGAGACTAGCAGTCCCGCCCTGCGTAAAAGTAAAGCCAGTGCTATCCAAACTTCAAAGTTGTGGCTTGAAGCCCTATGTTCCACTCTGAGCATAAAGAAATATAATAATAATAATCGATAAGGATTTGTTGAACGTGGTCATTCGTGGAATCAGAACGCAGAAATAGTAACTTACATGATGTTAATTGTTAATGTGGATGTTTTACGTCTGGATACTGTTATATTGTACTGGATCCTGTAAGCAGAGAGGGTGATCTTCTCTACTTACGAATAATACTTAGTAAGTACGAAGATGAAGATTCCTGACCAACAGCAACAACAATCAGCCAGCATATATGGGAGGAATCTGAAAGAAGCAACTCCTTTTACCTACGTGGGGAGCATCGTTTCAACTACAGGCGGATGGAACTGACGAGGATACATACCAAAGCGTGGATCATCCAGAAAGCAAAGGCAAACTTTCATCACTCTCAAGTCTGTTTGTAGGTCAACAGCACTCAACATGTAAAATAAGATGCGGATTGTCAACTCCAATGTGAAGTTAGTGCTACTATACCGATCAGAGACTTGATGCGTCATGAAAAGCACTTCGAACAAACTACAGACCTTCATCAACAGCTGTCTTCACCCAATACTTAAGATCAGATGACCGGTCAGAAAAGATCAGCATTAGTGAGGGATCTCTGGGAGCGAACCAACTCAGCAGGAACCAATTGTGCAAGAAATATGCAGGAAGTAATGCAGGTGGATTGGCCATACTATGCGAAAACCACCAAGTGACATCGCACGCCAGCCCATCACTCGAGTGAAACTTGGACGGGAAGCGGCGAGTTGGGCGTGAGTGCGAGGGTAACACGGAGGAGGTCATTTGAAGAGGAGATGAAAGCATGTGGGCAGATGTGGAGCCAGATGAAAACGTTGTCGGAGAACCAACTGCAATGGAGACGTTCGGCTGAAGCTCTATGTTTCTCTAGGAATTAAAGGAAACAACAATAATAATAAGTACGAAATCTCACTTTAATTTTTCTGTCAAATACCCTCAATTACTAACATTAGCCCCATAACACTTTCTGGTTGACTGATAAAAACCATTGAATATTCAGGACTAGGCAACATATGATATCTGTTGATTTGCAGTAATTTACTGGACGCATACAGTCGTGAAATTCTAGTGAAATTCACTGGAGAACATGATGACTTTAAGTAATCCATTGTATTCTCCTCTATCTTCTTTACTTTTCAGGCATTATTTTCAATTCCATCATCTTATCATGCTAACAGCCTTTATTTAGTTGTACGTGTTGACAAAGTGCTCAGTGGACCAATAACTACAGCAGTAGAAAAATATCTGAAAAATACTTCTGGCACAAATATGAATGACTATAAAACTGGATCAAGTATACAAAAAACAATGGTGAATTATTGTCGAAATATCGGTCGATATCGTATGCCATTTGCATGGGGTGCAAGGTGTGTTTATGCCTAATTTTTCTTTTATGTGTTTTCTTCTCCTCTCTCTTTTTTGGATATTAATCCCTGTGATATGCCCCCATTGGCCTTTAGTACAGCTAATGCGTCCTGGGTTCGAGTCCCACTCCGCCTACTTCAACCTGGGTAACTGGGCAGTAGTACTGCCACTAGTCCTCACACAATAGGTGTGTGGCTCTCCTTGGCTGGAACATGAAGTGGAGCAGTGGCTCATTCATTAGTTTAGGCTCATGACTTTCAACCAAGTGGGTCACGGGTTCGAACTCTGTTCCATCTACTACTAACGAGGTAGCACTACTAGCCCTCACACACAAAAGGTGTGACTCATTACCATAGAATTGCACATGGTTTGTTGTTGAGTTACTGAGGAGGAACCTGAAATACCTGTTCCTGGAAATGAAAATCAAGGAACTTATGTCCGATTTTTATGTTCATAATATCACTTTGATTAAAAAGGTCATAGTAGAGTCTCGCCTAGATTTCTGTCCTATTTGTCAAGATTTCTTTAACAAAAATGATCTTTTTCTTTACAGAGTAGTAAAGATATGGAAAATGGAAATAAGAGATATAATGGTTACACCTTGAGCTACAGTCTACGAATTTTTGGCATATGATTCACTCCCGCCATATGTAAGATGATGAGGCTACATGACTGGACTGGGCTAAATTGACTCCTAGCTTACAAATAGGGAGTGAAGTGGTGGTTGAGCGCGTTGACCACTTCACTTATTTGGGAAGCTGCATCAGCCAGCCCTAGAGCGTTGATCCCTGACGAAATCTGAGCACGGATACAGAAGGCTAGTTTCGTATATGCCAGTTCACACTGTCTCTGGCTTAGTAGACGTGGTATCCGGCTGGCTATCGACCAAAGGGCGTGTGTACTGCTTAGTAGTCTTCTCCGTCCTCCTTTATGGCTGTCGGTGAGACATGGCCATTGAAAGTAAGACATGGAAAGGCCGACTAGCTGTCTTTGATCATAGGTGCTTGCGTTCTATCTCCCATATGAATTGGTATTACAGGGTGAGCAATATTGAGGTTAGGCGTAGGTCGAGTGCTAGGTAGGTGGGAGGGGAAATCAATAGACTGAGATGGTTAGGACATGTGTTACACATGCATGCCTAGTCATCGCCTCCCTCGACTGGCAATGTTAGCTCACATAAGGTCTGGTTGGAAAAGAGCCAATTAGTGGTGGTCAAACCAAAACATGGCTTCACCAGTCAATGAAATCCACAACAGTTAGTTTAAGCCAATCAGCCATGTAGGAAGGTGTAGACTGGCTTCCTGACTGGTTGGGGTCCTCGGGACGGTAAAAACCAATGAAGCCAATTGGTGCTCCATAATGGTTAAGATTTTATTTTGATAAATCACACAGTGTTGTACAGTTATATTAACTGATGACGTTTCGAGCACAAACTATTGCTCATAATCATATCAAGTTGATATGATTATGAGCAATAGTTTGTGCTCGAAACGTCATCAGTTAATATAACTGTACAACACTGTGTGATTTATCAAAATAAAATCTTAACCATTATGGAGTTATACTGTACCACAGTGCCCAAGTTTTATACTTATAAGCCAATTGGTGGTATGGATCAAAATCGTTCTGAATGATGGCACAGATGCATCCACTCCTTGTAACTTATAATACCCAATGAAACTATATTGTTCTTCGTTATTACTATTCCTTTGTCTCTCACCTTTGTTTACTGTCTCTGTTATGCATTTCTTCTACTTTCTTCTCTTGCTTTGTGTGCTACGTGGATGGAGTGTGGCGAGTTGAACTGCTGTACATCGATGCAAAGTTCTATGTTGAAAACAGACAGGCAGATATTTAAAAAACAATTTATTTTTATTCCTTTTGCATTCTGATTAGAACATAGGACTTGAAGTTTGAGCTTTGAAGTTTCAGTAGCAGTGGTGTTTTTTGTTTTTGTTTTACTGGGTGGAGTTGCTAGCCTCACACCCAACCTTCCCTCCTTGTCTCGATTATAACCGGTCGGCCAACACTCTACTGGGGAACCACCGACACTTCGTCTTGTGGTACGTAGGTCGTTAGGTAGCCCTAGTCATATTCAATGCGATAACCTCTCGGTTTAGTACGTTGATGACGCATTATGGAGTTAGTAAGTAGATATGTGATCCAGATTCTCACCTGGTCTCTGATTGCCTTAAATCACCAGATATCCGATACAGTTATGATTATTATTATCTATCTTGCTAGCTGTCCAGTATGTCTGTTTGTCATCATCCTCTTAGACTCTAAGTAAGTTATTTGAAAGTCTCGTTGTCAATTGAAGTGTCCGGGATGTCTGGTGTGTCTGGATTCAACATAGAACTTGGCACCGAAGGGCACCAGTTCGAGTTGCCACGTTCCGAATAGCACACAAAGGTAGACAAGAAGATGAGTGAAGAGAATCAATAGAGTTTTGACAAGTATAAGAGTGAAACAGAATGAGTAATGGTAGAAAGGAATATGAAAGATTACAGAGACTGAATACATCTGCGTAAGCCATTGACAACGATTTTGAGCCATGTCGCCTATTGTCTCCAGCCATTGATTCTTACAGTCCCGAGGGCCCCAACCCGGAAGTCTGAATCTCCCTACCTGACTCAGTTTAGCTGTCAAGGATTTCATGGATTGATTCCATGTTTTTGTTTGGCCACCGCCTGCTCTTTTCCAACCTGCACCTATATCAGCTAGTAATGCCCGTCGGGAGGGGGAGGCGATGGTTAGGCATGCGCAGCACGTGACCTAGCCATCTCAATCTATGTAACTTTATATCCTCTTCGATTGATTTTCCCTCATTGCCCAACACTCTGCGCCTAACGTCAACATTACTTACCTTATTATGCCACCTAACGTGAGAAAGAGATCGTAAACATCTGTGATCAAAAACAGACAATGTTTTCATGTCTTCAACTCGTATTGGCCATGTTTCAGAGCCATAGAGAAGGACGGAGCGAACTGCTGAGCAGTACACACGTCCCTTGGTTGATAGCCGGATATCACGCCTACGCCAGAGACGGTGTAAGTTAGCGAAAGCAGCTGGAGCTTTTTGGATCCGTGCTGAGATTTCGTCACCAATAAATCCGTTGGTGCTGATACAACTTCCCAAATAGGTGAAGTGGTCAACATGTTCTATCACTTTACTCCCTATGACTAAGCTAGGAGTTGACGTAGTCCAGTCCTGTAGCAGCAGCTTACATTTTACAGGGGCGAATCGCATGCCAAACATACGAAGATTGCAGCTCAAGGTGTTCAGAAGACTCTGCGTTTTGTCAGCATCCTCCCCTAACAAACTGTCCGGGATAATTGTCGTCGAGTGTATATTCCTTGCTTTAAAAAAAGAAGGAAGTTTAATTCAGTGTTAATCTCTACCTTCTGTTAACTTTTTTTTCACACGGATCTTTATAGGTCGCTTAACAGTTCAAATCGTTTTCTCCATCTATTCAAAATGGATTCAAACAAAATATCTGAACAGGGATTAATTCAAGCAGTTCAGATGCTGTCACGTTTATCGTCTGATTATAATAATTCACCGCCAGTATATGACGATAGCAATGCAAATCTAACAAATAATGATACCACTGCTACTACTAATGCTACTGCTCATAATAATATCATCAGTAATACAGTTGATTCGAATCATCATTATAATATCCCAGAGTCTTTAATTCAATCAGTTAAATCATCAAAAACTATTGGACGTAATATTATTACAAACACTAATACTGATAATACACTCTATCCAACAGAACAAGATCGTCTATTCATTGACATAGTTGAACGTTCCTTGAAAACTCAAATGTTGCCTATGCGTTTTGAATTAATTATCAGTGAATTAATTGATCAACATATAGATCCTAATGCAAAAATGATATCACGTAAGTGTCTTAACAAAAAAACTTCTTCATTTATGTTACTAAGTTGTGTTATGTGAAGGTGTTTTTTTCTTTTTCTTCCTCTTTTGTACTTTAGAGTACTGTGCAATACTTGATGTCTGTGTGTGTGTGTGTGTGTGTGTGTAGGCTTGAGTCTATAATGCTACTCGGGTTTTCATTACTCAATCACGTCCAGTGGTGATTGAATTAGATCTTGTATTAGATGGTTGGAGGCAATCGGCCACAGGAAGCCTTAGACCTAGGTTTCGTGCTAGTTGACACTCATCAGCAAGGCGTATCTGCAGTTACCTTGAAGGAACTGATGTCCCTTCTGAGATTCGAACCCGCGTGACGCAGTGCTGCGGTCAGAGACGTTATCACTGAATTAGATCTTGTTTTACACGAAAACCAATCTGTATAAGACAGCAAGTGAAACTCACATCTTTAAATTCCTTGATTTCTCATTTTAATAATGATCATCGAGATGATCTAACACTGTTTTTGTAGAAAATGTTTCAGAAAGTTAGTCTGGCTGGATTCAACATAGAACTTGGCACCGAAGGGCACCAGTTCGAGTTGCCACGTTCCGAATAGCACACAAAGGTAGACAAGAAAATGAGTGAAGAGAATCAATAGAGTTTTGACAAGTATAAGAGTGAAACAGAATGAGTAATGGTAGAAAGGAATATGAAAGATTACAGAGACTGAATACATCTGCGTAAGCCATTGACAACGATTTTGAGCCATGTCACCTAGTGTCTCCAGAAAATTAGTAGTTAGTGTTTTAGGTTAAATTTCAAATATGAAAGATGTTATGGATTTCATTGAATATAAACGGTTTTTCAGGGTAAAAGTATAAAGGTCTGTAAAAGTTGATGTAGAGTAATCCATTCAATTCCTCAGGAAGTGAGGAATGAAATAAATTGAATGATCTCTGACGAAATCTCAGCATGGATACAGAAGGCTCGTTTGGCATTTGACCAACTTATTCCATCTTTGGCGTAGACGTGATATCCGGGTGTCGACCAAACGACGTGTGTACTGCTCACCAGTAAGCTTCTTCCTCCTTTAATGGCTGTTAGTGAAACATGGACATTGAAAGTGGAAAACATGAAGAGGCTGGCTAGCTACCTTTGACCATGTGTGTCTACGTTCTATCTCCTGTTTAAGGTGGTGATATAGTATGGTGAGAAATATTGAGGTTAGGCGCTGAGTGGTGAGTAAGGGGGAAGGGAAATCAATCAACGATGTTTTGAAGCAGTTACATCGATTGAGATGGTTGGGACATGTGCATGCATGCCTAATCGGTCGCTTCATACTGATGATCAAATGGCCACACAGAATTAACTGGCTGGCAACCAACCAACCAAGAACCGATTGCTCTACAAATATGTAGGAGAAAATAGAGGCGATCGAATGACATCGCGCTTAATGCAGGCCATCACTCGAGTGGAATCCCAATTGGAAGCGAGGAGTGGGTCGTTGGTACGAGGGTGACATAGAGAAGATCATGCAAGGAGGAGATAAGAGATTATGATCAATCATGGACCCAGCTGAAGAGGAAAGCAGAAAACATAACAAAGTACAGTTGTTTTGTTGAACCCTTATCTCCCAATCGGAACACAAAAGGAAATAATAAATAAATAAATATATCCCATTTCTATATGAAAATCCATTAAAAGTCTAGTCCCCCTAAACTTTTTACTACGTTGCTTGTTAAGAAGTATGATTTGTCGAAATGCATAGCTTCTTAAGCTTTTGGTTACAAGTGAGTGACTTCTATGACGTCTGACAGTGATATTGTCATCAATGCCCACTTCCAACCATCACTGAAATTGATTTGAAGTAAAACATGGAACTTTGCTTAAACATTCTATTGTTGAATTCAATTCTCAATGTATAATATTATTATTTAAATATTTTCACTGTTGAATTTTAGAATTAATTTTTTACTTTCATTATTATTTTAAAAACAAAAAAAATTAATTTCAGGTATTATCAGTTCAAATCTTGAAACTTACATACCAACAGTTGATGTAACAAATTATTCATTGAATTGTTACATACCATCTAGTCATCCAGTGTTAATGTCAGATGAAGTTATACGTGAAGTTGAAAATTTATTTGATTTCAATTCTCCTTCTACGTCATCATCAGCAACAACGACGACGACAGTTACAGGTGTTTCATCTCATAATGATGATTCAGGACTTACTTATTCAGGTATAAATTTGTTTATCTCCAGTTGATAGATTGATTTTTGTTGCATGTGTATATATGTTTTTGTCGATGTGTTGTTGAGTAACCTGTCTAACACATAGTTTTTAGATTCCAGTTACTTTTATTGAATGTCAAGGTCTGATTTAAAACTAAGCAGTGGGAAGTGGTGCGTCGGTGGCATAGCGGTTAGGACGCTCGCCGACCATGCACATGGTCCGGGGTTCGATCCCCGGCCGATGCATTCCTTTACCTCGCTTAGCCAGAAATAATGCTGGTGAAGAGGAAAGGTTGGGCATGAGGCTAGCAACCCCATCCTGTAAAAATAAACACCACTGCTACAGAAACTTCAAGCTACTAGCTTGAAGCCCTATGAAGCACTGGGGAACGTGAAGGAAAAAAAACAGTGGGAAGTGACTGAAGATTAAATGGCTGACTAGGAAGAATCACCAACAAAAAAACTATGCGAACAAACCAGCCAAGAGCCTATCGCTTAATAAAAAGAATGTGCAGAAGAAAATGGAGATGGATTAAGGACACGCTACTGAGCTACTACTGTCGAATGACATATTGCACAGTGAAGACCATCACTCGAGTGGAATCCGAATGCGAAGCGACGTGTGGGATGTCACTTCAAGAATGAAGAGGAGGAGGAGGAGGAGATGAGACATTATAGTCAGTCGTGTGGCTAGCCAGCTGAAGAGGATAACAGAGAATAGAACAAAGTAGAGATGTGCTGTTGAAGCCATGCATTCCACTCGGAACCCAAGGGAATAATAATAATGATAATAATAATAGTTCATTGGATATAAACAGTGGATAATTTATTTAGAACGTTCGTGGTATTTTTTAATACTATAGTATATATGTATAATTTAATTGAAGGCATAAAATGGACCCTAACGAAAAACTTGGAGGATCTGGACTTCGCTGATGATATTTGCTTTCTGATTTCCCACAAACTGGAAGATATGCAAGTGAAAAGTAACAAGTTGGCAGAAGAAGCATCATAGATACGACTTCATGTGCACTTAGAGAAAACAGAGGTGATGAAGATACCAGGCCAACACCATCAGCAGACAACAATCAGCCAGCATGCATGGGAGGAATCTGAAAGAAGCGACCTCCTTTACCTACCTACCTGGGAAGCATCGTCGGCTCAACTACAGGAGGAAGGAACTGACGAGGATATCAAAGCAAGAATGGGAAAAGCAAGACAAGCTTTCACTACTCTCAAGTCTGTGTGGAGGTCAACAACACTCAGCATCAAAAGTAAGATCCGGATTTTCAACTCCAATGTGAAGTCAGTCAGTGCTACTATACGGATCAGAGACTTGCACTTCGCGTCATAAAGAGTACCTCAAACAAACTACAGACCTTCATCAACAGCTGTATTCGCTCAATACTCAAGATCAGATGGCCAACCAGAAAATATCAGCAACAGAGATCTCTGGCAATGAGCGAACCAACACAGCAGGAACCGATTGTGAAACAAATAGGCAGGAAGAAATGGAGATGGATTGGCTGGCCATACTCTGAGGAAACGATCAAGTGACATCACTAGACAAGCCATTGCTTGAGTGGAACCCGAAAGGGAAGCGGCGAGTTGGTCGTCAGTGCGAAGGTGGGGTGACTTGGAGGAGGTGATGTGAAGAGGAGATGAAAACGTGTGGGCAGACATGGAGCCAGGTGAAGACTCTAGCAGAGAACCGAACGGAATGGAGATGTGCGGCTGAAGCCCTATGTTCCTGTAAGAATTAAAGGAAACAATAATAATCTTCGAATAAAATAATAAACGGGGAGTAAGAGTTAGATTTTCACAAGTTGGTTGGTTCGCAACGATCTGATTTGATTGGTTACACGATTTCATCAAGAGCTGATATCAGTTAGAGAACCATTGTAAAACCAGAACCGGAGTACTATACAACCAGCTGTTTCGTCAGACTAGTTAGGGACTCTACAACAGTACTCACCCACCGCCAGATGTCAAACCCCACGACCTTCCGGTTACACAAGGCCAGTAGGCTCATAGACCATTCAGCCAGTGAGACCCGTTCCAGTGGCCAGTCCATGAATTCCAACTTCTGCTAATAATTCACGATATAACGTGACTGGCACTAGCCAGTGTCATCGGCGGTGACGAGTATTTGTCCTCACACCCTACCTGCCGCACCTCACTGGTCACGACTTCCCTGACTACGGCCAGTCTCTAGTGAGCATCAGATTAGTATTCAAGTGTTGGTCTGCAGGGATTAGATTTGATTGCTGATGGGATTTCATCATGAGCTAACATTGGTTAGAAAACCAGCACCAGGGCACTGGACAGTTGACTGTTTCTTCCTACCTTTGGACTCTTCAACAGTACGCTTTACTTTTCAAATCTGAAACTATTATCATCGCGAATGGATGAGGTGCATAGAATGGTGGCTAATTTTGTCATTTATTCTGAAATGTATATGCTGTTCAACATCTGTTTACCAAATGTGTGTTAAATAACACACACACACACACAATTCGTATCCAAGCGTGTTACATGTGTGCATCAATAACTGTTGTAAGAATGTATCACAAATCAAAATCAATAACAGGTGATTAATAGTAGTAGTAGTAGTCGTCGTGGTAGGAGACTTTAAACATCAAAGCATAAGTTTTACACGACTGAATTAAACCAATCTTGTGTAAAATAGTTTGTTCGCTGCTTTATAAATTTGGACATGTGTTGTGAAAAGTTGTAGGATTATGCAATTGAGCGAAACACACACACACTTCGAATAATCGAATTACACACATTTTCACGACTGATATACTTAACTTGCCTTATATTATAATCAGATTATTTTTATCAAGAATAGTGTTGTTTATTGTCATTCTGCGTATGCATGTGTTACTTGTATATTTCAATTGACCTTCGATTCCTTTATTTCAAAAAAAAGTATGAATTAACTTGAAAAATTGTTCGGAATGCACTGCGTAATCGCATCACATTTGTCAGATAGACTTTGTACTTTAATGATTCTATCCAATTAAGTCCTTTATCAATTGTAAATAGACTGTTCCTTAAAAGTTACAGATACTCCTTCTTTTTTGGAGTCACAGTAAACACGGAGCCTCTAGGAGGTATTCTGAAGTGTACGATAAACTGTTTATTGAAAGTATTGGTTTGTAGGGATTTTGTCTGATTGGTTGGAGGATTTCATCATAAGTTGACATCGGTTAGAAAACCATTGGAAAACCTGCAGGGAGTACTGGATGGCTGTTTCGTTATAGTTTAGGACTCTTCGGTAGTACGCACCCACCGCCAGCTGGGTTGGAACACTAGACCTTCTGGTTACAAGGTGAGCTAGCTGGTAGACCATTAAGCAGCCACTCACTGGGACTTGATCCAGTGGCCAGCCAGTTCATGAATTCTAACTTCTGCCAATCCACGATGTAGCATCAAACCATTTTTCGAGATTTTCCAATGGTTCTCTAACTGATATCAGCTCATGATGAAAAAGGATGTGTTGCATAACGAGTTCAGCATTGCTTACCGTAATGGTTTGAAGTGATTAGGATAGTTGATACTGATAACCTAGGAGCTGGAGTAGGAGAAACGGGAGAAAATTCAGAAGTAGCCAGAACAAAATATACAATCAATCGTTGTGTAGTGACAGGTAGAGTAAATAAAAGGTACTTGTTTGAATGGTAACTACCAATCAACAGGTCTAAGTTTTCCTTATTCCCCCTCCCTCCCATCCTATCTTTCCTGTTTCCTGTTCTTGTACACAATTTTTAGATGATACTAATTCACTATCCCGTACAGGAAGTCTTCAAAGAAGTTTTCTGAACAATTCATTAACTGGTAAAAGTAACAGAGATTCTTTAATGTCAAATATTAGTATGGGAAGTTTACCCGGTACGCTTGTCTCTGCATCTAATGATCTACCGAAAATCATCAACACCAGTGCAATTCAAACTCGCACAAATTCTCTAGATCGAATGGAGTATGGTGTGCAAAGCGCACAGCATAGTACAACTTCAAAGTTACTACCGTTCACTTCATTCTTCAACACTCTTTATGTGTGCCCGAAATCATTAAATTTATCTGTGAAACACAGTTTTCCAAGGGTAAATGTTATTTTATTATTATTATTTTTAGTAATTTATCGTAGTGTTGTAGAACTGTAACCAAAGCCATCTTGACTTCGAAATATTTAAATGATATTCGAAAATGTTCCTTTCTTTCTTCCTTTTCATTGTGCATAGAAGTCATCTTCTATTTAGGTTTAACATTGCCTGTCTGAGAAATATTTTGTGTCGCTAGTGGCTTATTGTTTTTCGCACACTTAATTAATGGCTAGTTGTCTTTGATCATGTACGTCTGCGTTCTATCTCCCTTCTTACATGGTAGGTGTAATAGGGTGAGTAATATTGAGATGGTTAGGCTTCGGTCGAGTGGTGGGTAAGGGGGGGGAAATCAACTGACGAAGCTGTAGAGCAGTTACATTGATTGAGTGAGATGGTTAGGGCATGTGTTACGCATGCATGTCTAACCATTGATTGCCTTCCTGGACGACGGGCAATGTTAGCTGACTGATATAGTATCGATGAGGTTGGAAAGTAGCTGCTAGTGGTGGTTGGTGGTCAAACGAATACATGGCTCCACCAGGCAATGGAATCCAAAACACTCGAGTGGAAATTGACGAGTTGGGTTTGTGGACCCGATGGTGATGTGGGGAAATAAAAGTCCATGGGCAATCGTGGAGTCAGATGAAAAGGAGTGTAGAGAACTGGACACAATGGAGATGTTTACAGGATTTTCATCATGGGCTGACATTAGTTAGAGAACCATTGGAATACCTGGGAGTACTGGACAGCTGTTTCCTCCGTCCTAGTTTGGGACTCTTCATCAGTACGCACCCACCGGGATTCGAACCCAGGACCTTCTGGTTACAAGGCGAGCTCGTATACCATTAAGCCACTGGGACCCGATCCAATGGCCCATGAATTCTAACTTCTGCCAATTCACGACATAGCGCGACTCCTAGCCAATGTCGCTAGTATTTGTCCTCACACCCGACCTGCTGCACCCTGCTGGTCACGACTTCTCACTAGAATGACATGCTCACTAGCGGCTTGCCCTATTCAGGTAGGTAGTTACCTGGGGTTCTAGTGAGAAGTCGTGACCAGTAGGGTGTAGCAGGTCGGGTGTGAGGATAAATACTCGCCGAAGACATTGGCTAGGGGTCGCGCCATGTCGCGAATTGGCAGAAGTTAGAATTCATGGGTTGGCCATTGGATCGGGTCCCAGTGGCTTAATGGTATACGATCTCGCCTTGTAACCAGAAGGTCCTGGGTTTGAATCCCAGTGGGTGCGTACTGCTGAAGAGTCCCAGGTAGTAGGACGAAACAGTTGTCCAGTACTCCCAGGTTTTCCAATGGTTCTCTAACTAATGTCAGCCCATGGTGAAAATCCTGTAACCAATCAAATCCCTACAAACCAACACTTGAATAACAATGGTGATGTGTTGTTGAAGCACAATGTTCCATCCGGAACCCAATGGAATAATAATAGTAGTAATTTATCGAAAAAACTAATTCCAGTTTGTTGTAACCTTTAGGATCCAGTGCAGGATTATTCAGTGTCAAAGTGCTGATTTGTTCCAGTTATGATTTCCTTCCTACTGAGAGAATATTAACTGATGCATTATGCAAATGGCGTCGGTGGCATAGCGGTTATGACGCTCGCCGACCATGCACGTGATCCGGGGTTCGATCCCCGGCCACAGACGCACTCCTTTACCTCGCTGAGCCAGAAATAATGCTGGTGAAGAGGAAAGGTTGGGCATGAGGCTAGCAACCCCATCCTGTAACAATAAACACCACCGCTACAGAAACTTCAAGCCACTAGCTGAAAGCCCTATATTCCAATGGGGAACGTGAAGGAAAAAAAATTATGCAAATGAAAGAAGAATGAATAGCTGATGTGTTTATTATTATTATTGTTTTAGGGATGCATGCCTGTTTTTCTCTTCCATATAACCTCTAAATGTCAGTTCACACTGATTCTTTTTTTGTTTTGGTTAAATGGGAATAATAGGAGAAGAGGAAAAAAAAGTATTTTTATTGATGTGCATAATGTTTATTCTTCTTAGTTTTACTTAAATGATGCACAAAATGTTGTACAATCAACTATGGTATTTCACTGACCTTTTCTTTTTCTCACTCCATTTCTCAAATGTCTTTTTATCTTTCTCTCTTTTGAATCGACCAGTTTCTGATTATTATTATTATTCCTTGAATTTGACTGACTTACTTTGAACTTTGTAAAAGGCGAAGTACTTCTAGTTGCTACAGCGTAGAAAAAAAACACATGTGAAAGTAGGATAACGAAGTATAATGAAAGTATTATTGAATGAATGGCATTAAATGGATCTAGACTTTGCTGATGATATTTGTTTTCTGATTTCCCACAAACTGGAGGATATGCAAGTGAAAAGCAACAAGTCGGAAGAAGAAACATCAAAGATAGACGTAAATATTTCGGAATTATATGATTTTTTAAACATCGACTGTTAAAAATCCGATGATTTGTGAATCTTGCTTCAGTTTGACAAAGTCGTGTGAGTTTGTTGATAAGCTTCCTGATAGGAAGACCATATGTATTTTTCTTATATCAAAGATGGGACTTACTTCAGATGAACATAGAGAAAACAGAGGTGATGAAGATTCCTGGCCAACAGCAATAGCAATCAGCATAAATGGGATAAATCCGAGAGAAGCAACCTCCTTTACCTGTCTACCTACCTGGGAAGCAACGTCGTTTCAACTGAGGGCAGAACTGACGAAGATATGAAAGCAAGGATCGGGAAAACAAGGTAAGCTTTCATTACTCTCAAGTCTGTGGGGAGCACTCAGCATGAAAAACAAGATGCGGATTTTCAACTCCAATGTGAAGTCAGTCAGAGACTTGGAGCGTCATGAGAAGCACCTTGAACAAACTACAGGCCTTCATCAACAGCTGCCTGTGCTCAATACTCAAGATCAGATGACCGGCCAGAAAAGATCAGCAGTAATGAGGGATCTCTGGCAATGAGCGAACCGACCTAGCGGGAACCAATTGTGCAAGAAATATGCAGGATGAAGTGGAGGTGGATTGGCCATACTCTGAGAAAATCACCAAGTGACATCACACGCCAGCCCATTACTCGAATGGGAAGCGGCGAGTTGGTTGTCACTGCGAGGGTAACACGGAGATGGTTATGTGAAGACGAAATGAAAGCATGTGGGCAAACACGGAGTCAGGAGAAAACGTTGGCAGCGAACCGAACGCAATAGTGTAGCTGAAGCTCTATGTTCCTCTACAAACTAAAAGAAACAATAATAATAATGATTATTATTATTGAGTAATACGTATGTGGGAGAAGATAATCAAATGAAGATTAATCAGGATTCTCTGGATCTGTACAGTAACAAGGAGCGAATGCATCTGCATCTTTGTAAACGGTTTAAAGCTATGCTACCGATCGTCTCCAGTCATTGGTTATCACCCGGAGGATCCCACTCGTGCAGTCTGCACTCACACACACACCTTACTTCACCAAAACCACCAGTCAAATATTACATGGATTCGTTTCATACATTGGTCCGCAACATCCCTACGACTTAACCAGAATTTTTCATGACTCAGAATGACGTACAGTAATGGCATTGACACTTTAGTGATATTAAAAATGATGATGGTCACATTAGGCACCCGTGATGATTATCTGGTTATTGTCAGTTGATGCTTTTAATTTTCTGTTGATTTATCATGGTGGAATGTCTGATAACCACGCGCGTAGCCAACGTTCGATTCCCGGTCGGTGTACTCCTAAACCTCGTCTGGTGTACTAGCCTGGAATAGAGGGAAAGTTGCATGTGATTCCAGCAACGCCACACCGGAAAACAGCACGAGAAACTTAGTCCAATAATGTTTTCTTGTCTGTTGGCGTTAGTCACGAATAGTTGTATATTTATAGACTTATTGTCTGTCTGTCACAGCTTAATTTTTTATAAACAATGTGACTGAGCTATTTAAACTTTTTTAGTGTTAGGCTGACTTACAGATGTTTGAGTACGATGACAATTGGTCATTTTAGTTTGACAGTTTGTTTAAGTCCATCACCATTTATTCTGTGTCAGTTTCATTTTTATCGGTCATAACCAACATAATTGACATTGTTTTCAAACAAACTAGCATCAGGATCGATCACGAACTGACATCAGCCAGAGAACCAATAGAAAGCCTGGGAGCACTGAACAGCTGTTCTGTCTAAATTTGGGACTGCTCAGCAGTACGTGCCCCCACCACCGGGGTTCGAACCCAACACCTACTAGTTACAAGGTGAACTCGTAGAATATTAACCCACTGGCACCCGACCCATTAGTGTATGAATTCCAACTTTTGCCAATTTGTGACATGTAATTAGCGCAATCGCCAGTCACTGTCATAAGTGAGTAACTCTCCTCTTGCCGCCTGACTTCGTGAACCCCTCCGGGTACGATTTCCTCTATAGGGCCAGTCGCTAGTGAGTATCAATCCAGTGTGATATCAGCTCGTGGTCGATTCTGTAACCAATGAAATAACTGCGAGTTAACATTTGATAAACCAGTATCAAATGTCAAGATTGAAATAACCAACATCTATAACTCCATTAGAGATTGGTTGAGGAACAAAACAATATTTCATTAAAAAAAACAACAACAATAAAATGGCTTTATCAAAGTTATTAGTAACACTTATATAGCAAAGCGTCAGTGAAAAAGCCCCATCATTTGTAGTTGGTGTATGAATGTCAAATACAAAATGTCATATTTGTTTGAAGCATTCAACCGCAATTTTGTCTGCGTATATCCATACATTGATCAAAAAGCTTTTTATTTGTGTCTGAAATATTGGTGTATTTATAATAATAATTATTATTATTTTGACACTGGACATTTTATTCTCGCTTCTGAGATTTCTATTCTTATGATTCATTTGTTGTTTGAGAGATACTGATTCGAATCGAATCAATGGCTTTCAAATTATTACTACTGTGATTTGGTTAAATCGACAAGTCATCAAACTCTACTTATGTGTAATTCAAGTAGATTAGAATTGGAAAGATCTAATTGAAGAAAAAACTTATTGTATATTCATAATGATGCATGGATGTGTTACACACGTAGCACTCATTCATTTAATCCGGATTTCAACGGAGACGTAGGTTGTGATATCCTCAAGAGAAGAATTTCAGCATATTGAAAGAGAACATTCTTCTCAGCAACACTAAGAGTCGTGTTCTTCAGTTGTCCGTTGACCTGTAGAAGCCTTAAAGACAAGATCCCGTATCTGGTGACTTCTATATGCATTTGTCAGTTGACCTGTTGCTGTGGAGTCAGGTATATATTGGTAGTTTGACGCCTATCTTGTCCAAAAGGGTTCGACAACGCTATCCCATATGGCTACAAAAAAGGTAATAGTGACTGTATAAGGAGTGTGATAATCGAAAATCTAGTCGACACTGGTCATTCCATCTCAACAAACGCCTCCTCCTCCTTCAAAGTGATCTACAAAGTGAAGAACAACTTACCAAAGGCACTATGCGCTTTCGTCTCCTTGGCTGCATAGCTGAAGCTTTAACCATTCAGTTGGAGAAACTAGCGTTTATGCATACAAAAGGAAATCATTCAACCACTACTTCTATGGTGAGAGCTGTCTACTAGCCAAATTGGTAGACAGTAATTTACGTCAATATTTACGTTCCCAAGATTTGTCGTGAGAAAATGTGAACAAAGATTGATTCAAAACCGACCATAGCAGACTTTGCGTAGGCGGATGCAGTTAACATATAGGGGATTTGACATTCAAGAAACAGTCATAAATAGATGAAAGATTAACTTTAAGTGAGAAACAACCAATCGGAAGACTGTGTTTGTTTACTTAAATATCCATAGTAATGTACATGAAATATATAAATATGCGTTGATTTCCTTAATAAATGATCTGTTGCCTGACTCTTGTCTTCTGTCGTTACACTTCTACTATCATGTTTTTCCTCTAACTCCTTACAACATTTGTAATTCTTGGAACTCTTACATAATTTCATATTTCCTTCGTTCCTATATTCATCCTAATCACAACTCAGTCACATTAAACAACCCATCTCACTACGTAACTGTATTACATTTATTCAACTTCTTCTATGTGTCACTAAATATTTTTTTTTGACAACACATCACCACCATCTTCTTACCAATCTTCAAAACCCCACCCCCAGTTACACTGTGATTACTCACCACATTTTTGAAATATCTTGACAACAATGACCTGACTTATTTTTATTCCTGTCGGAGAAACCTAGTGTTCACACACATGCAAAAATAAGTACACATAATTGCGATTGTACAGCTAAGTGTGGATGAATTCGCCGCCGAAAAGAGACTCTTTGGTGAACACTACGTGTTTTATTAATCAATAGTGATTGAAAGGAAATTTACATCAGGTCAGCATAGAGCTGTTAGTCTGTGATTTTCTGGTTGAATCTTATCACAACTCAGAGCTTCAGAGAAGACTTCGAATCCACGAATAATAAACTAGCTGTCAAAAGACAAGAGGTGCATTCTTTCATGTCGATGCATGTAGATAACTATGGACACCAATTTGACCTGGAAAATGTAGATATTCTAAACGATGGAAACACCAAAAAAGATGCCAGGGAATTTCTAGAAGCTTGATACGTAGATGAATCAGTGACTAAAAGGCATATAACTATCGATCAAATCTACCAACTAATTAAAAGTAAATCATTACATGACAAGAAAGTTCAAATACCAAGTCAATTAAGATGATCAATAGAGACGTAAATTAATAACCTATCACAACAGTGGTTGTCAGGAGATACAATCAAATCATCGTTCATGGAGAATTCAAATAAATTCACTTTGTATTAAGGCCTGCACTGAAAGTGTTGTCGGTGGAAGGGTAGTGGAAGCTTCCAAATTAAATTACCCATCTCAGAGAACGCAGATACATAAAAAAGATCCAGAGATTTGTTTGAAATTTTACAATTGATTCTTTGAAAAAATAGTCGTTGTTTGCCTTTTCGCCCATATGCTTATTGCTATCATTCTTTCTTCTAGGCTGACAAAAATTTGAAGTCTATTCAACAAACAACAATTAATATTGTCCTATGTCAATGGTTACAATGCTACTCATCATTTTCTTTCCTTACTGTTTATCATCTAAAGAAAGTGATGTTTCACAGTATCGATTTCTCCTGTACTTACTAACCTTATTTTTTTAACCACAGGAAATATAAGACTGTACACTCTGTATTCTTGTTATTAGCCTTTTAACTGATTTGTCCCAACTCAGTGTTGTTTGTTTTGTTCAGTGTGGAGAATGATTTAAAGATGACTCTGATTTACTTGGTGGATGGTGACTAGCAGTGGAATCCAGGATGCGCATTTCGTCCCATTTGGGACTCGTCAACTGGATGTACCTGCATTTCCCAGTGAGTGATGATGTTCCCACCGGGGCTCGAACCCAGTGCCCATAGTTATTTGCCTCGGTGGGAACATCATCACCCACTGGGGAATGCAGATACATCCAGTTGACGAGTCCCAAATAGGACGAAATGGGCATCCTGGATTCCACTGCTAGTCATCATCCAATAATTAAATTCTGATTACATGCCCAGACATCATCGAAGCATCTGCACAAGAAGCCGACATGTCAACCTGAGACCGAGCACTTTGGTCCAGTCAATCGACGGGAGAATCTAAAAAATTCAATGATTCTTATTTGTTAAATTTTAAAGTACTACGGATTTCAGTGTCCCTTTTTAAAAAAGCTTTTCATGTTTTCAAGTGTTGGTTTGCAGGGATTTAATTTGATTGCTTACCGGATTCTGTCATTAGCTGAAATCGGTTGGATGACCGTTGTGAAACCACCAGGGAGTACTGGGCTGCTCGCTGTTTCGTCCTAGTGCTCGGGACTCCCCAGTAGCACACACCCACCGCCAGGATTCGAACCCAGGATCTTACGGTTACAGGACGAGCCTGTAGACCATACAGTAGCCACTGAGACATATGAATTCGCCTTGTAACCGTAAGGTCCTTGGTTTGAACTCCGGAGATAGGTGCGTACTGATGAAGAATTCCAACCACCAGGACTAAGCGACTGTTGAGTACTTCGGTGCTGGTTTTCCATTGGTTCTCTAACCAATATCAGCTTATAATGAAACCTTGTAAACATTTATATTTGTTGCATTTTGTTATCATACTTTCATTCTACTTTATTTTAGGCACGTAATCTATCATGTTTCATTGAACTACGGTCAAATGACAGTTTGGATAGCTCAGCTGCTTTAAAGGTTAGTGAATGAGGCGAGAAAACATTGATTTATTGAGTGATAAGTTTCTAATTTTAATAGTATGCAACCGATTTGAAAATATTTTGTTCCCCTTTACATACCATTAGTTAACTGAGTTGTTGAATGAGATGGACCACTTAATTAAATTTGACACTCGTCACCCACCCACTAGTGTACACAACTACATAGCGGGGTAAGCTGACGATCGAATTCGATGACGGTTTAAGTGTAGCTACCAGTAGAGTGTAGGCTGCCCATAACAAGAGATATAATTAATATTATGTGGAATGGTTTCCTCTGCAGAGCTAACTGTAGTTTGTATAATCAATCGGTGAAGCTGCTATGAAGCAGATGATCGGAAGGTTGTGTAGATGAATAAAGAGAATCGAAGAAGCTACAGAAAATTGGGGATTAACCTATCCTGAAGTAGACTGAATGAAAGGCTTAATGTTTTTTTAACAGTGATTATTGTGATTTATTCTGATACAAATTACATCTATTCTCACTAGTCATGTTTGGGTGAAAATTCAACTCATAGCAATTATCTCATTTATTTAAAAATGATTTCGAAATTTCATTTCTACTCTCAAAGGTATTTTGTGGTGTAGGTACTGAGCCTATTTTTATGACGATCCAACTATGTATGATGATGTGTGTTGGTGGCATAGCGGTGGAATGCTCGCCTACCACGCCTCATGTGGTTGGGAGCTCGATCTTCGGTCACAGTTGCACTTCACAAACCTCGCTAAGCCAGTCACAGTGTAATGACAGAAGACAAGGGCCAGACAGATTGTTTATTGAGAAAATCATCATATATTTATGGATTTTTATGTACATCATTATTAGTATTATTAGCGGAGAAGTAACGTCTTCTGATTGGTTGTTTTCTTGCTGAAGGTTGTTCTGTACTGCTTGTGACCGTTCCTCAGAAAGTTAAGCCATATATCTGCGAATCGAATTTGCATACGCTAAGTATGCTGTGATTGGTTGTTGAGTTCCTCAAGGTTAAGCCTTGTTATTGTTTAATCTCGTGACTCCGATTCGGGACGTAAACATTGAAGTAAATTGGTGTCTACAATTTTTGCCTTGCAGACAGCTCTCACCACATTTGGACTGGTAAAGATGGAAGGTTAGGCGTGAGGCCAGCAACCCCGTCTCGCAAAAATAAACATTCAACTGCCAGCGAAACTTCAAGCCTCTACCTTGAAGCCCTATGTTCCACTGGGAATGCAAAGCAATAAAAAAAAGATGAATGATGATGCGTATAGAATAGATATGTATTTATTCACACATACTAATTAAGACGAGTTAGTCTCTATTCTCTATCGCCTATATTGATGAGATAACTAGGTCATTCACAATGTGGTATCGTTGGCTTACACTTTGGGATTTTACATGAAATCACCTCATTTCTGCTTGAATACTTTACTTTACCATTATCTGTGTAACTGACTAATCAGTCTTGTTAATATGCGAAATGTGATGTTACTCAACCACTGACATTACCATGTATTTGACAATGTGACACATTTATTACGTGCAGACTAGTAATAATAATTGCCTAGTTAGTTTGAACGCGATTTATAACCCTTGGCCCAGCAGTGGTGATTGGAAGTTAAGCGCCTACACCAAATGAGCCATCGTTCTGTTTGGTATTGAAGCTCTGTGGGATAAGTGACATTCGAGGGTTTTAGGCTTATGGTACAACTCTGTGTTACCTAAGCAAATGGGCTACGTTTTGATCAGTGTGTATATAAATGGTGGTAATCATGATAGCTGGTTACAGGATTTCGTTATGAGCTGACATAAGTTAGAGAACCATTGGAAAGCCAGCACCGGAGTACTTACTGGATAGCCAGCTGTTTCGTAAAACTAGTTAGGGAATCTACAGAAGTACTCACCTCACCGCCAGGTGTCACACCCCTTGACCTTCCGGTTACAGAAGGCCAGCGAGCTCATCAATCATTCAGCCACTGAGACGCGATGGAATGACCAGCCAGTAAATGAATTTGAACTTTTGCCACTAGCCAATGTCATCGGCTGTGGTGAGTATTTCTTCTCACAGCCAACTTGCTATGCCCCAGCGGGGGTTTGATGCCCTACAAGTTTGCCTCGTAACCGGAAGGTCCTATGTTCGAACCCTGGTAGGGTGGGTGCGTACTGCTTTTGGAAGAGTCCCAAATGGCTGGAGAGTTCACCCAATAGTTCTCTAACCGATGTCAACTCATGATAAAATCTTGTAACAAATCAAATTAGATCCCTGCAAACTAACAGTTTGAATAATTATAATTACTTATTTCATTTGAAAGGAGCTTTGTTCTTGTCAGGAAGAGATATTGATTAGTTTTTCTTTGGTATCGTGAGGGAAACGAATATCTCTTTCCCTCTCTCTCTTTATTAATCAAGTTAATAATCTTATCTCTCGATTTCCAATACTTTTTGACATTTTGCTTAACCTATGTGGATAGATGGAGTGAATAACAGGAGCGCGAGAGGGGGTGGTTGAACTTCCAAGATAAATAGCAGGGTATATAATAAGATACATAGTATCATGGTTCCTCTTCACTATGTAAACAAGTATAATGATGTTAATCAATAAATTAGGAAAACGAATGCTGTCTAGTTCCTGATATGTATATATATAACTTAAATAATTTCTTTTGATAAATCCTGTTCTCCCCTCCATGAGATTTTCTCATGTCTAGACAGAAGGTAACAATGATAGTAATAATGTCTGTTTTATCACAATCCCAATTAGTTGCAATAATGATAAAATTGTATACACCTGAGTTTTGTGGTCCCAGCTTATAAATTTAGCTTTAGTGTATATACAACACCTCTCTGTGTGGGTTGGTAAGAATTCGGAATCTGCATCTTAATACTTTAGCTTAGCTCTTCTTCATGCATATACCATTTCAACTGTTCCTGTGGTTCAAGTTATATAGGGTGCACGATTAGGCAGGTTCGTCTACGGGTTCGAGAAAATTTACCAGCTTGGTTTAGCAGGGGGGGGGAAATTAAATGCATAAAAAGCTCGATCCTGTCACACTTTGTCGATACTGGACATCATATCGATGTCAACACAGCTTTCAGGGTTATATACCGAATTCCAAAGTCGTTATCACGTACAGTTCGCTTACGTCTTCTACACATAGCTGAAGCTGTTGCAATAAGATCGACTAAACCGGAACTTTGTATCCAAAAAGAACACGTCCAGACGCTGTTCCTACCGTGGCCAAACTTGGATTGTTGATTCTTCTTCTCACCAAGAGTGTTCCTTCCCCTTAACCCTCTTGGGTTTTTTTTCCTTTGCTTATTATTACAAATATTATTATTCGCCATAATTTATGCCCTTCATGCAAACATTCTCTCAATACTATCGAATTTTTCGTTTATGCTATCCGGACTTATTATTAGTGATATTATCTCTTTTCTCAGTATATGCCTCCACCTATTTCATTTCACATATTCGTTATTTCATTATGAACCTCTCATTGCAGTCTTACTATCTCCTGTTTCACACAGACCACTTTGTACTAGCCACTCACCTGACACCTTTTATAACCTTGAACTGACTTGTCAATTTTCCTACCCCACACTCTACAGATCTATTATGACTAATCACCACCATTGTCTCCCGTTTTACAATATTTTGTAATCGAGTTCAGCCTAGCACGTTTGTCACACAAATACGACTATTTATTTTGACACCCCATAACTAATCTGTTATTCTACGTTAAAAATGTATCTGCCGCATAACTGGCCTTTATTGTAACGATAACAAATATTATATTTTATAATTGTAAGAACCTGGAGAGGAGGAATTATTGAAAAGAATATTCTTCGTTCAGATTGACTTTTAACTCATAATATGGGAATACTTCACACTATCAAATACTTTATCTGTTGGAATTCCTAGTAAGGCGTGAATTTACTGTGAAAAAAAATTCGTTTTATCCTGCCTTACAATTGTTAACTATTTATGCCTGGTAATCACTTTTGATACATATTGAAACGGTAGAAGACGAAGATTTGGTAAAAGAATGTTTATTTGCTGCGGATTGGTATTCCTAGATAGCCAAATTATGTATACCTTATCTCCAACGCATCATTCGCACAGATCTTCGTGTTGTGTTTCTTTCACGTTTCCCATGTATCTCCATAACGCTGTATCATTGCCTTCTCTGAAATCAAACGTTCCCAGTGGAACGTAGGGCTTCAAGCTAGCAACTTGAAGTTTCGCTGGCAGTTGGATGTTTATTTTTTCGAGATGGGGTTGCTAGCCTCATGCCCAAACTTCCTTCTTTACCAGTCTTATTACTGCCTTACCGAGGTTTTTGCAGTGTGTCTGTGGTCGAAGACCGAACTCCGAACCACTTGAGGCGTGGTTGGAGAGCATTCTACCGCTGTGCCACCGATGCTGAAATCAAATGTATCTGCTGATGACCGTCTCTTTATGTACTACTGATAAATCTTATCAGTAGCACTCGCCGGAATATGCGTTTACTGCTAGTTTATGCAGTCGGAAATATGTGAGACAAGGTGGCAGGCAGACTTTGAAACCATTGTTTGGTTGGAAGTCTATCGTGCTGCAGTATATGAAGTCCGTTTTCTGGATTGCAGGTTATATTCATACTAAATAAAAATAGATTATACAGTTGTGTTGGTAAACTCCCATCATTGTTCCTGCATTAGTGTTTTGTTTTTGTGTGGTACTGTTTTGTAGGTATTCTATACTCGTCCAAGTGTTCGTCAGCCAACCTTTGATTCATGGTTTAATACATCTGTCATTTATCATGATACAAATCCAAACTTTGGTGACCAGGTAGGCAGATATTTTTACAGTGTATTAGTGTTGAATATTCAAACTAGTTTATTCGGAATGAATTTGCAACTTTTTAATTGTTTTTAATGTCTTTTATGCCTATTGTTGTTACATATCTTTCCATTTTTTTCTACCAATTCAGTTTCCGATATATTTTTATATTGTCATTCTAAAGACTACTGCTGGGCAACTGCTTCGTTTTGGGTTGAGATTCTATAGATGTATGAACTCATGTTTAAGTAGACATGATATCCAACTGGCTGTCTACCAAGCGGCATGTGTACGGCTCAACAGTCCGCTGTGTCCTCCTTTATGGCTGTCAATGAGAAATGACCATTGAAAGTGGACGATATGAAAAGCGCGACTGGCTAGCTGTCTTTGATCATGTGTTAGCGTTCTGTCTCCCTCCCGTGTTAGGTGGTAGGTGTAATAGCGTGATTAATATTGAGGTTAGGCTTCTGTTTAGTTCTAAGTAAGGAGTGGAAATCAATCGATTGGATTGTGAAACAGCTGCACTGATCGATCACCTTCTTCGACGGTCATTGTTAGCTGACTGACATAGGATCGAGTTGGAAAACAGCTACTAGTGCTGTTAAGACGAAAACATGACTTCATCAATCAATCAAATCCACAAAAGTTAGTTTAAGCCAGACATGTAGAGGGGTGTAGACTGCCTGGCTGGCTGATTGGGGTCTTTCGGATGGTTAAAACCAAATAAGGCTGAAGATAATCGGTGATACTCCTCAAAATCGCTTTCAGTGGTGCAGATGCATTCACTCTTCGTGATGTTTAATACCCAAATAAAAATCTACTGTTCTTTCATATTACTATTCTTTTCGCCTCACATTTCTAACTATTTTCTCTCTTTTGAATCTCTCTTTAATCTCTTCTGTTGGTTTCTGTGCTACATTGAGGGAGTGTGGCGAGTTGTACTGTTGCACGTGTTTGCAAAGTAGTTCTACATTGAAACTATTCAGTCAGTCAATCAGTCATGATTAAGTTCTAGATCACTGGTCACAAGGGAAAAGATTTACCATTCCAATTGGTGGATTATGATTCAGTAAAGCCTGATGTGTTCATTTAACCGAAAATACCCATTCAGTCTTAAAGAAAATAAAAGACGACTCAGCGAAGAAAATTTTCTTTATCGACTCACGTAGCCGTGTAAAGGCTTATGGGGAATTGTCATCTGAATTGATAACAACCAGTGGTGTCCGTCAAGGATGTCCACTTTCCCCATTCTTATTTAACTTCATCATAGATATGCTGATGGAATTATCCTTAACTGAACTTAACGACTTAGGAATCGACTTGTTACCAGGGAATAGTCTTATGGACTTAGAATATGCAGATGACATAGTCCTGTTAGGGGAGGATGCTGACAAAATGCAGAGTCTTCTGAACACCTAGAGCAGCAATCTTCGTAGGTTTGGCATGCGATTCACCCCTGTAAAATGTAAGATGCTGCTACAGGACTAGACTACGTCAACTCCTAGCTTAGTGATAGGGAGTGAAGTGATAGAACATGTTGACCACTTCACCTATTTGGGAAGTTGTATCAGCATCAACGGATTGATTGGTGACGAAATCTCAGCACGGATCCAAAAAGCTCGGGCTACTTTCGCTAACTTACACCGTCTCTGGCGTAGGCGTGACATCCGGCTGTCAACCAAGGGACGTGTGCACTGCTCAGCACTTCGCTCCGTCCTTCTCTATGGCGGTGAGACGTGGCCATTGAGAGCGGAAGACATGAAGAGATTGTCTGTTTTTGACCACAGATGTTTACGATCTCTTTCTCACGTTGGGTGGCATAATAAGGTAAGTAATGTTGACGTTAGGCGTAGAGTGTGGAGCAAAGAGGGAAAATCAATCGACGAGGCTATAAAGTTACATAGATTGAGATGGCTAGGTCACGTGCTGCGCATGCCTAACCATCGCCTCCCCATCTCGACGGGCATTACTAGGTGATATAGGTGCAGGTTGGAAAAGAGTAAGTGGTGGCCAAACAAAAACATGGCATCAATCCATGAAATCCCTGACAGTTAAACTGAGTCAGGTAGGGAGATGCAGACTTCCGGGTTGGGGCCCGCCCTCGGGACTCTAAGAATCAATGGCTGGAGACAATAGGTGACATGGCTCAAAATCGTTGTCAATGGCTTACGCAGATGTATTCAGTCTCTTGTGTAATCTTTCGTATTCCTTTCTACCATTACTCATTCTGTTTCACTGTTATACTTGTCAAAACTCTATTGATTCTCTTCACTCATTTTCTTGTCTACCTTTGTGTGCTATTTGGAACGTGGCAACCCGAGCTGCTGCACTTGGGTGCCAAGTTCTATGTTGAATCCAGACAAAGAGACAGATTTTAAAAGGCTGTATATTCTTATTCATGTTTGGCAAAAAGGTGTGGTAGTCCATTATTGAGTAATTGGCAAGGGGAAGATGCAATAATTGGTATAATTGTACAACTCATTTTAATATTCATTCATAATACCAGCATTAGAAGTCGTTAATGTCAATGAAATACTCAGTCACAGTAGCGTCAGTGGTTCACTTTTAGACTACTGGCCAACTATAGCTGACATGGTCCGGGGTTCGACCCCCAGCTGATTCATACCTTTACCTCGCCTAACCATTAATAAGCCCAGTAAACAGGGAAAGTTGGGTGTGGGACTAGCCACACCTGCTGCTGAAACTTCGAACATCTAGCCTGTAGCTTTATGTTCACTGGAAAAGAAAAGGAATAAAATAATGTATTTTTTAAAAACACTTCCAGTTCTGTTTTCTGCTTCAAAGGAATTTCCCCTGCCCCTACTCTTTCATTTGTTACCCATGCATATATTGATTCTGTATGTTTGGAAAGACTTCGAGATGTGTTGTAAATTTTGACTTTCTAATACTCAACATCAAAGTTGGTGGAGATGTGCCTTATTAGTTTAGGCATTGGACGACTTTTAACCATCGTTTCACGCTTTCTAAGCTTACTCCGGTTATAAAAGTTTGAGCAGCCGTCTTACTAGTATTGGGATGAGAGCTGCCTCCAAGGCAAAAGCTGTAGACACCAATTTACGTCAATGTTTACGTCCCGAATCGGAGTCACGAGATAAAACAATAACGAGGCCTAATCTTGAGGAACTCAACAACAAATCACAGCAGACTTAACGTGTGCAATTGAGATTCTCAGATATGTGACTTAACTTTCTGAGGAACGGTCACAAGCAGTACAGAATAACCTTCAGCAAGAAAACAATCAATCGGAAAACGTTGCTTCTCCGCTAATAACGCAAATAATTATGTACATAAGAATCCATAAATATATGATGATTTCCGCAATAAACAATCTGTCTGGCCCTTGTCTTCTGTCGTTGCAGTATCACTGGTTATCTGTACAATAATTTTATATGATCACTTTGATACATGGAGCTTCAACTAGTAATATTTGAATGGCATTTCATCTCCTCTATTTACTCCATCACCTCATTGATATTTCTGTTGCAAACTCTTCCTTTCTGATTAGATATGTGTGTACCACTAACAGTTAAGCTTTATTTTATTTGAAATAGAACGTAAAAAGCAGTTTGTGTGGATTACTAAGTAGGAATTCGAGTGGAAATCTTCGTTTCAATAGTTTTTTTTGTTTGCTGAGCTGATATGCTGACTATGCGTAAATTATCTTGAAATTGTATATCATTCAGTATTTCACATTATTAGGCGTCATTTATTTTATTATCTTTGCACACATATATGCATAAGTTGATTTTTGATATCAAGTGTTGGTTTGTAGGGATTCGATTTGTTTCAAGTTAGAGAGAACGATTGAAAACCAGCCACACAGAGTATTGGATAGGCAGATCTTTCGTCCTAGTGCTTGGGACTCACCAGCAGTACACATCTACCACAGAAGTTCGAACCCCAGGGCCTTCCTGTTACCTAGTGCTCCATAAATTCTAACTTCTACTAATTCTTGATTTTAGTGCAACTGACACTAATATCATATCAGCTAATATCATTGCTGCTGGTGGTGTGTTTTCATCCTCACTCACCGATTGACGTGTTTGTGAATCCTACTGGTTAGTCACGACTTCTCACTAGAACTACAGGCAATTTCGTCCTCTAGCCAGCCAACCACTAGCGAGTATCAGATTAATTTTCAAGAATTGGTTTGTAGGTATTTGAAGTTGCCTGGAGTTCTAGTGAGAAGTCGTGACCAGTGGGGTCCATCCAGTCGGGAGTGAGGATGGAGTTCCCGCCACTGATATTGGTTGGTGGTCGCGCTGAAATCACAAATTGGTAGAAGTTAGAATTCATATACTGGTCATTGAATCGGGTCCCGGTGGCTGCTGAATGGTCTACGAGCTAGCTCGCCTTGTAACCGGAAGGTCCTGTGTTCGAACCCCCTGTTGATGGGTGCTTACTGCCGATGAGTCCTAAACTAGGATGAAACGTCTTTCCAGTACTCTCTGCTGGTTTTTAATGGTTCGCTAACTGATTTCGATTCGTTGTCTAACTTCGAAAAACAAATCAATTCTTGAAAATAAGTGTAATTGTGTGTTAAGTGTGCTAATGAGACTTTAAAAATCAAACGATATAATGGTTGATTGGTTGAATTCATGAATGTGATAAATGTGCCAATAATTTCTCACTGGCATTGAAATATGTGTAGGTTTATTGCAGTCTACGTTTCGTACACTGGCGTATATAGACACACACTTCATTAGTCAAAGACATTAGCCGAGTTGACTATTTGCATATTCACATCATTTCACTTGATATGAAGTTGACCTCTAGCACAATTTATTACTTTTGTAAATGTCATTTATATGACACTGTGTGTGTAAGTGTGTGTGTGTGTGTTACTCAGACAAGTGACTAGTCGCATCATCCTAATCTTTGGACAGTTTACATATCTACACCATTAAATATTGACTAAACTAAGATAAGGTCATATAAGATTTATTAAAATAAACATTAAAAACATTCAATATCCAATATTTGTATATATTCACACTTTATTTTCTTTCTCTGTAGGCGAAGATTTGTCTACCGTTGAATTTAACTCCAGATCATCATCTACTATTTCGTTTCTATCATGTAAGCTGTGAAACAGCAGCGACAAATTTAACCGGTCAAAAAGAGAAAACCAGTAGTTATAAAAAACCGGTTGAATCTAGTACAGGCTATTCATGGATTCCAATACTTGGTACATATGGAAAGTAAGCTATATTCTGCACATAGATGAGATATTTTTGGTTGTTGTTTTTTTCTCTTTTTTCAAGTATTGGTTTTCTTAGGGATTTCATCACGAGCTGACATCGGTTAAAGAACCATTAGAAAACCAACACCGGGATACTGGTCAGTCAACTGTTTTGCCCTAGTTTCGGACTCTTCCGCGACAGGACTCACTCACCGCCGAAGTTTGAACCCAGGACCTTCTTATTACAAACTGAACTCATAGACCATTAAGCCACTGGGACGTGCGTCGGTGGCACAGCGGTTAGGACTCCCGCCAACCATGCACGTGGTCCGGGGTTCGATCCCCTCCCGACACACACCCGATATCAATGATCGGCCTGCGAAATTGGGCTACCGATATCACATGCTGAAAATTCCATACTTGTACCAAAAATACGGTGTGGAATCAAGCTATAATCAAAATAAAATAAATAAATAAATACAATGGCCAGTCAATCCATGAATCCTAACTTCTACCAATTCACGACACAGCGCGACCACTTCGTAATGTCTTCTTCTTCTTCTGCCCCAACCTACTGGTCACGGCTTCCAACTAGAACCGCAGGCCAACTGCCTGAATAGGGCCAGTCGCTAGTGAGCATCAAATTAATTTTCAAGTATTGTTTTGTAGGCAATCTGTTTAATTGGTTTGAGGATTTCATCATGAGCTGACACCAGTTAGAGGACTATCGGAAATCCAGCACAGGAGTGCTGGACAGCCTGCTGTTTCGTCAGCCTATTTTGGGACTCCTCAGGAGTACGCACCCATTGCCCCCGGGGTTCGAACCCAGGACCTTCTGGTTACAAGGTTAACTAGCTCGTGGACCATTAAGTCCAATAATTACGTCAGTTTCCCAGCAATGGGGGAATGCCCAATAACTATGCATGTGGTCAAGGATTTAATTCTTCTCCGGTGCAAACATTTTCGCCTGTTTAAGCCGGTTGAAGATGGAAGGTTAGGCGTGTAAAGCTAACAATACCTGTTACTGTGAAACTGCATCGCTCAAGTTTGAAGGGTTTTCATGGGAAATGTATGAGAACGAAGAAGAAGTTTCAGAGAAACTAGACTGCATTTCTTTTTCACATTTGTAAAGTTATACAGAAGAACTTTGACCAGTTCACAAAGCCTTAGTCAAGAGAAAAATAACTTTGTTTTGTTACTCTCATTTTCATTGGAATATGCCAATTTCTAATAGGTTAATTTGTTCATTAAATGAAAGGGTAATCAATATGACGTGCTTGGTCCTTGGTGCACTGACTAACTGAATTCTAATAATGGTGAATTACACTTTCCTCCCCGTCGGTGGCATAGCGGTTAGGACGCTCGCTGACCATGCACATGGTCCGGGGTTCGAACCCCGGCCGACGAGGCACTCCTTTACCTCGCTAAGCCAGAAATAATGCTGGTGAAGAGGAAAGGTTGGGCATGAGGCTAGCAACCCCATCCTGTAAAATAAACACTGCTACAGAAAATTCAAGCCACTAGCTTGAAGCCCTACGTTCCAGTGGGGAATGTGAAGGATGGATTTTGGACACTTTCCTCCGATGTGTAGATGTGTTTTTGTTTCTTTTCTAATTTACTTGACTGATTTAGTTTCAACGTACAACTGAACACAGAAATGTGTGTCAGTTCAAGTTGCTGCAGCTTATTTAGCATGGAAGAGATATCAACACATCACTGAAATTCTCAAGGAAAATAACTACCCAAAGAACTTCATTAACAAAATCAATACCGACATTGAAGTTTCTGTAGCCGTGGTGATTATTTTTACAGGATGGGTTTGCTAGCCTCATGCCTAACCTTCCTTCTTTGTCAGTCTTACTACTACTAGCTAAGTGAGGTAAAGGAGTGAGTCTGTGGCCGGGGATCGAAGCCGGACCACCTGCGTGGTCAGCAAGCGCTCTACCGCTGTGTCACCGACACATATATGGAAAGTAAAGGAATGAAATAATAAATAAATAACGTATGATTAGTGTCATTTTCAAACGTTAAATGGTAATCAGTTTGGCTTGCCTGTGTAATCTCTTAAGTATACCGATTAAGTCAGGTTATTGTGTAATCTTTTTGAGCAGTGCTTGTTCTCTCTTTCTTACTTTCTTGTTAAGCTTAAAATGTATTTGTGTGTCTATACTAATCATCATCATTATCTTTTTTGTTTATATTTCTTTCAGTTTCAATGTTGGTACATTCCAACTTCGTGTAGCATCAACTATTCAACCGGGTTATCTAAAGCATTCAACTATACAAGTAAATGTTTGTTTTTGTTTATTTTTAGAAAAAAATTATTGTTTGTCTAATTCATGCATTGAGTAATTAGTAGTCATACTTATTTTAAGGTGTGTTTTTTTTAGATTTTTTTATTCCTTTGCGTTAACAGTGGAACATGGGGCTTCAAGCTTATTGGGCTTTGAAGCTTTGGTAGCAGTGGTGTTTATTTTTTACGGAGTGGGATTGTTAGTTTCACATGCAACCGTCCTTCTTTGCTAGGCTTATTTATTACCAGTTAAGTGAGGTTTGGGAGTGCGTCTATAGCCGGGGATTAAACCCTGGACCACATGAGTAAGTTGCTGGCGAGAATTATACCTCTGCGCCACCGACTATTTTAGGTGTAACAATAGTTAACTATGCTACTACTGCGGCCTACCTGCTCAGCTTAGGTTCCTAATTATTTTGTGTTGTTGTGTTTACTGGAAGCAGAATGTGTGGACAGTGATCACTTTCTTAAATGGTATAATGGAGTGAGAAATATTGAGGTTAGTCTTCGGTTGAGTACTAGGTAGGTGGGAGGGGAAATCAATCGATTGAGAGAGATGGGTAAGAAATGTGTTACGCATGCATGCCTAGCCATCGCCTTCCTGAACGAGGTTGTGAAGGTACATCGAATGAGATGCTCAGGAAATGTGTTGCTCATGTCTAGCTTAGCCATCGCATTCCTTAACGACAGGCAATCTCAGCTGACTGACATCGGATCAGCTTGGAAAAGAGCCAGTGGTGGTCAAAACAAAGCATGGCTTCATCAGTCAATGAAACCCACAATAGTTAGTTAGGAAGGTGTAGACTTCCTGGTTAGGATCCCTGAGATGGTAAGAAGCAATAGCGGCTGGAGACAATTGGTGATATGGCTCAAAATCCTCGTTCTCAAGGAATAGCACAGATGATGCATCCACTCCTTGTAACTTATAATATCCAATAAAAATGCCTTGTTCTTCCATATTGCTATTCTTTTTTCCTCACTCCCACTTCTGTTGATTATCTCTCTTTTGAATCTCTGTTTACTCTGTTCTGTTGCTTTATGTGCTACATTGAGGTGGTGTGGCGAGTTGAACTGCTGCACATCTCTGCAAAGTTCAACGTTAAAACCAGTCGGTCAATTATTTTATTAAGTGAAACTGAGTAAAATATTTGTTTGAAGCGACGGATACATAGATAACTTTAATTTATTTGTTTCTTTCACACGTAGATTCTTCAGATAAGAAATCATTTTTAACAACTTTCTCCCAGATTGAGTATCTTTAGAAAAAGTGTGTCATTACGCTCAACACTTGCAATTGTTCTGTGAGATTTTTCTTCATACTTAGAGGCTAACTGCGTTTAGTCCCAGTAATTTATCACTTTTTAAAAATCTAATTTCCAAAAAGAGGGACAAAACAGTTTAACGACATCATCAAAATAAGAGAATTTGAAGTATCAAATCAAGCCGGGCGAATCATGATTTCTATATAAGGAACTTGAAGTTTTTTTTTTGAACCAAACCTACTGTGGATGCTTTTGATTTTGTAAATATGTATGTGACTTACTACTGGCTTTATTAGTCTGAAGAAAAGTGATTGTATTACATGATTGTAGACAGGCAGTCGGCAAAATGCCTTGCTTGGCCTAGGTTTCATGCTAGTTGGCACTCACCAGTCAGTCAGCAAAGCGTATCTACAATCTCTAAGAAAACGATAGAATTCAGTCTGCACCAAAGAAAGGATTATATATTAGATGGTTGGAAGCAATCGGCAGGAAGCCTTGAACCTAGGTTTCGTGCTAGTTGGCACTCATCAGCAAGACGTATCTGCAACCTTGAAGGAACTCATGTCCCTTCTGAGATTCGAACCCGCGTCACCCAGTGCTGCAGTCAGAGACGTTACCACTGAGCTATTCAGGCTCGTGACTGACCACCTGTAGGATATCAGTTCCTTCAAGGTTGCAGATACGCCTTGCTGATGAGTGCCAACTAGCGCGAAACCTAGATCCAAGGCTTCCTGCCAATTGCCTCCAACCATCTAATACCAACAGTTCACAGTGCACGGTAATGGCGAGCCACCTAACATTGTGGCCACATTGCAAACATGACTGATAGAATTCAGTCTGCACCGAAGATAGGACTAGACACATTACACTAGTTACTAGCTAGTGTCCATTCGAAGTATCGAATACAGTCAGTCCTACAGTAGGTCAATCACGAGCCAGAATAGCTCTTTAGGGGTACCGACTCTGACTGTAGGCGGCACTGAGTGACACTGGGTTCGAATCTCAGATGGAGGGAGATGAGTTCCTTGATGGTTACAGATACGCCTTTCTAACTGGTGAGTGTCAAACAGCGCGCAACTTAGGTCAAGCAATACTTCTCGCCGACTGCCTCCAACCATCTAATATTAACAATTCACAATGCAGTGCAGCCACCTGGAATGGTGGCCACACTGTAAACCTTTGTCAATGACGCAGATGCACAAACTTCTCATCATCATCTGCATAGATTTCGAATATTCGTTATTACTATCAATACAACATTTATGCTCTTTTAATTTGATTGCTTTATTTTATTTTGGAAATCTGATAAGTTGATCGTATGTGTGCATGCCTTTATGAAATTCTCCATCGATTCATTAGTCTCTGAGTTGTTTTTACTTCGCGCTCATTTGTTCTCATCTGTATTTACCTGCATTCATCTGTGTAGTTCATATGAAAGAAAATTGAACTGTCTACATTTTATTGTCATGTCAACAATCGAAACTATTTTTGTTGTTGTTGTCGTCGTTGCTTAATTGATTTCGACTTTAACTTTGTTGTGTCAGCTGATGAGTTTCTCAGAAGCGTATACCACATTCTCTGATATTTGTCAATTAATTGCATTGATTTCTTCAGAATACACATGCTTAGGAATGTCTGTGTATCGGGGTTAACTGGTAGAGTGTGTTGACCACTTCATTTTATTTGTGAAATGGCATCAGCCAGCCCCCTTGGGTCGATCCTTGACGAAATCGAAGCTAGAATGCAGAAGGCTCGTTTAGCATTTGACAACTTACGCCATCTCTCGCGTAGACATGATATTATGTTGGCTTTCGAACATAGGGCGTGTGTACTACTCAGCAGCACTTTACTCTGTCATCCTATATGGCTGTCAGTGAGATATCACCATTGAAAATGGAAGACATGAAAAGCCCGACTGGCCAGCTGTCTTTGGTCCTGTGTGTATGCGTTTTATCTCCCGTGTTACATGGTAGGTTTAATAGGATGAGCAATATTGAGATTAGGTTTCGAGTGTTAGATAGGGAGGGGAAATCAATCGAGGAGGTTGTGAAGCAGTTATATCAATTGAGATGTTTAGGACATGTGTCGCGCATGCCTAGCCATCCATCACCTACATCGACGGCCAACCTTATCTGACTGACACAGGATCAGGTTGGAAAAGAGTTAACTATTGATGGTCAAACCAAAACATGGTTTCATCAGTCAATGAAATCCACAACAGCTAGTTTAAGCCAGCCACGTCGGGAGTTGTAGACTGGCTTCCTTGCAGTTTGGGGTCGTTGGGATGGTAAAAACCAATGGTAGCTGGAGATAATCAGTGATATGGCTCAAAATCCTCGTTCTCAATGAACAGCACAGATGTATTCACTCTTTGTGCTTAGTCATATCCAGGAAAACTTTATAGTTCTTTTATATTAGTATTCGTTTCCCCTAACTTTCACTTGTGTTTATTATCTCTCTTTTGAACCTCCCTTTACTCTATTCTGTTTGTTTTGTATGGCAAGTTGAACTGCTGCACATGTGTGCTAAGTTCTTTGCTGTCACTGGTCAATCAGTGATACGTCGTTTATTATTTTTGGTCTAAAATAATGGTCTTTTGGGGTCAAACGCAGTAGCTTAGCTGGGCAACAGTAATGAATAAGCACTACAGTCAATTGACTTTGAATGAATCAATCAGGTCGATCAGCATTACAAATGTATGCTTTTCATAATCTTCTTCGGAAGTTTCATTTTCACTTTAATCATTACCCCACCTTGATTCTACTCTTACCTGAACCCTGATTCAGGATGAAACTTGCAACTAAGATTATGAAATGCATGTCATTCGTAATGCTTAGCTATCTGATTTGTCTGTCTAAGGTTATTTGACTGTGGTGTCTTCTGTCTACTGTTGCCCTTGTTGCAGTAACGTATCTGCGTAGTGTGTGGCTGGCTTTCTGTGACTGAATCCCTCTAACTCCTCTTTCTAATTGTTATTACTAAGGCGAAATATCACCAGATAATTTCCGTTTGTAACGAAATCAATCTTGTTGCATTTCATCAAAGTGTGTATAAATGTCATGATACTCACAAATGTTACTATCATAGAATAATTGCAGCATTTTCCATTTTTCTTTTTCATTATCAGCAGAATACTCGAAGTTCAAATAGTCAAAATGTCTCGGGGAATGCTTTATCATTCAATATCAATGGTTCCAGTAACACCAATGCAAATAATAACAATAATAATAATTCAGTTGATTTAACATGGATAGACAATGGAAAGTTTTTGTTTAAAGTCGATTTGAAACCGTTATCTTCAATCTACACTCATGATCCAGTATTGTCAAAATTCTTTCGTGTTTGTGGAGACCTATTACCAAAAGTATTATATATGTCACCTTCAAAAGTGTTAAATATCAATAAACAGAAGGTAGGTGTGTGTGTGTAGTCATCCTTTCGGTTATTGTTCATACTTTAAAAAAATATATTGTTTCCTTATTTCTATTGTATTTTTTTTCCTTCACGTTCCTCACTAGAACATAGGGCTTCAAGCTAGTGGCTTGAAGTTTCTGTAGCAGTGGTGTTTATTTTATAGGATGGGGTCGCTAGCCTCATGCCCAACCTTTCCTCTTTACCAGCATTATTTCTGGCTCAGCGAGGTAAAGGAGTGCGTCTGTGGCCGGGGATCGAACCCCGGACCATGTGCATGGTCGGCGAGCGTCCTAACCGCTATGCCACCGACTCAGTTGTATTGTATTAAAGTTCATATATTGTTAATACAAAATGAAGACACAGGTTGCTACAGATTCATCACATTTTATTTTAATTGTCTCTAGGTACGTTACTCAAAATAAGCATAAAACTTGTGCCTTGTGGTAGAGTATAACTCCATTATGAATAAAATTTTATTTTGATAAAATCACATAGTGTGTTATGCAGTAAACAATATTTTCACTGATGAACACGTTTCGAGCACAAATTATGACTGCTCATAATTATATCAAGGTATTCACGTCATAACATAAATAGGAAAGAATAAGAAAGGCATCTACGCTTTTACCATATAAGCAGGCGACATCTGAGAACCTACATAGGATTCTCAATAAAGCAGGAATTCAGGTGGTGGTATTTAAACCTACAAACTCACTCAGACAGGACAAGCTCTCTAGGCTAAAGGAACCTGTCGGTTGACCCAATTAAACAAAATAATGTAATTTGCAAAATACCCTGCAATGACTGTGAGGTCAACTATATAGGTCAAACTAGTAGATCAGGGGTAATCAGATTGGCGGAACATAAGAATTTAGCTAAGGTAAGAATGGTTGACCCAGAGAAGATAAGTAATTTAGAAAAAAGCTCAGCGACTGCACTGCATGCATTAACACACAACCACACAAGAGGGTGGGAGACGGTTAAAATTCTAAAAGGTAATATAGGTAGATGGAGAGAGAGACTGATTACTGATTCCTGCCTGGTTCATCAAGTCAACACCCAACACATGCAATAGAAGTGACACATCATGGCAAATACCAGAAATATGGAAGATATTGCTACCACCAGTCAGTCAAATCAGAGGAGGATAATAAATAATCTTAAAATTCTATTTCAATTCAAGTACATCATAACATTCTAACAAGTTACTTATTGTGACTATAAAAACACTCGTATTATTTCCCATCTGATTGTAATTGATTGATAACACTCATATTATTATTACTGAATGTACATTATCCTATATTGATTTTTATTCAAATGTCTAATCATTTTTACTCATGTATATAAATGAAGCAAGAAGTTGTGTGAGTAGTGACTTGATATGATCATGAGAGGCAATAGTTTGTACTTAAAGCATGGTCATCAGTTAATATTGCTTACTGTATAACACTGTGTGATTTATCAAAATAAAATTTTATCCATAATGCAGTGACGTTACTTAAAATCAGTGTCTTAGGATTTAAAATATCACAATAGATGTAAGTGCTGTTATCTCGTGTGCTACTGATAAGATTTACCAGTAGTATATAAAGAGGAGCTCTCCCTGAACACAAAAATATCAAATAGTAGGGAGATAGATTCAACATCAAAGAGATAGAAAGAGAGGAAGCTAATGATTCAGCATTGTGGCAAAACATGGGAGCACACGAAATGGAAGACAAAGAAACACAATACGAAGGAAATGTAGAAGTAGCAAATGATGATTTGGCGATAAGGTGTACACATAATTTCGCTATACAGCGGTACCAAATTCCAGAAAAAAACAAGTCCCTGGTGCACTGTTATGACGATGCGCGTTTACATCGCAAAGCATTGATGAATCTACCATGCCATGATTGGTATAATTTGCAATGTTTTTCTCGAAGTTTGTAATTGTATTACTTCCTATAAAACTGTGTACACACTTCATGCTTATGAACGAGATTTTCTATCGAATATTCCATAAGTTGGTGTTTTATCTTGACTACGATAAATTGAATATTTTTCTTTCATGTTATATTGTGATATTATTTATTATATGAGAGTATTTGGTGACAAGATATATTGAATAGTTGCCTGATCCAGTTCAGTTGATTCATATAAAGGTTCATAACCTTATCAACCATGATATTAGTTCGATAGTAGTTTATCTATAAGGCAAAAAAATTTCTAACGTCCACTTCTTTATAAGTAAAATATACGGTATTCATTTTATAAAACTGGTCAAACTTGTGTCATTTTCGTAGCCATATGAGGAATATGAGTAACGATGTATCACGTACCTTCGACTGTTTATGTAATTTTTTTAAGGATTATTCCTTCACTTTCCCAGTGGAACATAAGGTTTTAAGCTGGAGAGTTTCGGTAGCAGTGGTGTTTATTTTTTTAACGGGATGGGGTTGATAGCCTCATGCACAACCTTCCCTCTTCACCAGTCTTATTACTAGCTTAGCGAGGTAAGGGAGTGCGTCTGTGGCCGGGGATCGAACGAACCCCAGACCATATGAGTGGTTGGCGAACATGTAATATAGTGTAATACATTCAGGTATTTATTTAGTATAGGAAATAACACAATTAAGTCTCTGGAAGTCTTCTGAAAGCTTCTTGTCGAAGTGAAGTAGTCCAGTACGTTCAACTATTTTGTTCATGATATCTTATCCAATTGTTAAGTCATGCTTTGAACAAAGAGGATGAGAGAGAAAAAACACTTCAAACATTATATTGTTGTGTGAAAAAAAAACAGTCCAAGAGTGAATAAACATTTTAGATTATCGGTGACACAGATAGTTACATGTACCTTTCGAGGATAAGTAGTTGATCTTATTCGTGTAGAATTACATCATTTCATAAAGATGACTGTGTTTTAGTCGACGACTTTCCTCAAATAATGGCATATACATAAGTTGGAGAATTTTTGAAGTGTGTATAATTCCCTGTAATGGTGAAAAGAGACGTAGATGACATACGATGATGATAATGATGGTGATGGTAATCGTCTCTTTCTCCCCACTGTAAGCTGACCAACAAAAGTGGTAGCAACTGTAAAAGTGTGTCGAGCTACTGAACAAATGCACACTAAGTTTCAAGTTTGATCACAGATTGACATCAGCTAGAGAACCATTGAAAACCAGTCACAGGGAGTACAGGACAGCCAGCTGTTTTGTCGGCCTAGTGTGGGACTCATCGGCAGTACGCATCCACTGAGTTTCAAACCCCAGGGCCTTCCGGTTACAAGGCAAGATTGTAGACCATTCAGTCATTGAAACCCAAATCAGTGGTCAACCCACTTCGTGATCATTACCCCGACCACCAGCCACTAAGAATATCCGTTTCTAGATTTACCTCATAGGAAACAGTCTTTGATCCTGTTGTATTAATTTGTTTATGCGATATATCACAGTGGTAAGCGAAAAGCCCTGAACCTGGATTTCGTGTTTGTTGACATCCGTCAGCAAGAAGTATTTACAGCCTTATAGGGAACTTGAAGTCCCCTCTGGGACAAAGTGCATCACAATGACGAGTCACTTATCTAATTTGATTTTAACATTATGTCGTAATATTATCTATGTATTGATCTGTTCCCATTGTTACCTAGCATGTACCCGACCGTCTTCTATTTAATTATCTTCCTTCAACTTTTATCATTATATTATAGCAAAATCGTGTCACCTTCGGTTATGATGTGGTAATACCATCAAATTCTAATTCTAATCAACAACTATCATCAACAGCTTCTCCGCCGCATTCATCACCCTTATCGACAAAGACGAAACAGACTGTCAATAGTTCAAGTATCCTGCAAAATACTACATCAATAAATCTACACTTATGCAATGCAATGAAAGCTTTACTCTTGATTACTCCAACTGCTTTAGTACAATTTTTACCAGTTATCTTGAATCAATTTATGGAGATTATTATTCTAAGTGCTGAGACAAGTGCTAGATGGTTTAATGCTGGACAACGGGAACAACAGCAACAGCAACAAGAAGAGGGAGAACAACAACAGTCTTCAATGCCATCATCAAATTCAACTCATGAGAACACAGAATATTCTTGGTTTAAAAGTTTAAAAAACAATCGCAATAATAATATTATCATTGCCAATGACCATCATCATCATAATAACTATGGTGTCAATGATATTCATAATAATAACAATAATAATAATATAAGTAACAATTCTAGTAATAGTACACCAGATGATGTGTTGAAAACAGCTGTTAGGTGAGTTGTGCATTTTATATTATTATATTCTTTTTTTTTAATGTTCTTATATTCTATATTTATCACTTTCTTATAACAATGAAAAAAACAAACACAACGAAATAATGGTTTTCTCTCTCTTTCTTTGTCAAATCATATGACCGTTCTATTCTAGTTTTTTGTAGTCCACTTTTTATGATTAGGTTGTCGTGAGTGTTTACTGCTTTTGATTTCTTCTTTTTTCTTTCTTTCTTTTTGATGCTGTTTATTGATTTTGGTTGCTTGTCGTGTCTCTCTTTCTATAGCCTTGAGTTTTACTCGGCCTTATATGGTAAGCAGGTGGTAGTGTTGTAATCCATAAAAGATAATTGTGCTCAAATGGGTGTTCCAACTAAGACTCGAATCCACCACCCTCCCATTCTCTCTGTTTTCGACTTAGAACTTTGCTCATATGTGCGGTAGTTCAAGTCGCCACACTCCACGTAGCAAGAAAAGAAAGTAGAAGGAATGCATAATATAGACAGTAAACAGAGGTGTGAGACAAAGGAATAGTAATAACGAAGAACAAAACAGTTTAATTGGAAATCATAAGTCACAAGGAGTGGATGCATCTGCGCTAGCCACTGAGAACGATTTTGAGCCATGTCACCAATTGTTTCCAACCCCAACCAGTCAGGAAGTCTACACCTACCTACGTGGCTTAGACTAACTGTTGTAGATTTCATTGACTGGTGCAGTCATGTTTTGGTTTGACCGTCGCTGGCTCTTTTCCAGGCTTACCCTATATCAGCTAACATTGCCCGTTGTCGAGGAAGGCGATCCACCCATTATTGGAAGTGAAGTACTTTAGTGTTATCTAATAGGCTACTGAGCCATGAGAGCCGCCTGTTGTTCGGAGAGTATAAGCTGTTATTTTACCCGAGATTATTTTAGATTTCAAGCTTAATCGCCAACTGATTTCAGCCAAAGAATCATTGGAAACCAGATAGTTCTGGTCAGTTGTGCTCGTCGTAGTTTAGGATTCTACATCGGCACACACACATGACTCCACCTGGAGTTGAACACACTGACCTTTCAGATTACTAGGCGAGCTGGCTGACCATTCAACCACTTACCAACTCTATATTCAAATACCATGGCCTTGAAATATCGTCATTAAATTTTAAGGATCAACCAAAGTTCCGTTTATTGAATTTATGATGGTGTTCGTCATATTACGCGTCTCTATTTAGACCATTGGACGAAAAATGTCTAGTTTAGGTGACGTAAACTGAGCAGGTCAGATGATTGTGTTGTTGATTTTCATCCTATAAGTGCTTTCTTTAGATGATGTAGTGCGCGTATCTTTCGTCCCTATACGTTAGCATATGTTGTTTTGGTGCAAATAGGATTGTTTTGAAAGAAAGATAAAGCTGATCAGGTGAAAATTATGTATTAACGCATCCAATCATCGACTGTTGGCGTGAACAGTGGAATTTTGACTTGCTCGCAACTTATAATTTAGGACAACAGATGATATTATTGGAAAGTGACTACTATGATGGAGATGCACTTTTTTTTCTTTGTTTAACCCTTTTCTTTTCGGTTATATATCTTGGTTATTGTCGTACTTTTTTCTAGGTACACTTGATGTATTGTGTTCCTATTTGTGTAGATGCATTTAAGTGAACATTACAGTGCACGTATGTTTCTCTCTCTTCCTGTTTGGAGTGTCTGCAACTACTTTCCTTCTATGACCGAGGTTTGGTCCATCTAAGGTTACCTATCGTTAGAGGGAACTTAAAGATACGGTCGAAATCTGGCATTCCTGTTACACATGGCTACTCACCCATCTGTCATCTGATACAATCACAGTCTGAGATGATAATTAGCATAAATTGACAATCATTTAACCTTCTTTCATAGAATGTGGTTCCTAACATCATATTCACAGGTTTTGCAATTTACACAGTTCAAGTGGGGAAATTCCACCGTAGTTTCCTTAAGAAACCAAGTTTTTCTGACCACGATAAATGATAGCTAGGCATGCATGTGTAAAACATGTTCTAACCATCTAAACTGATGTAACTGCTTCTTCACAACCTCCTTGATTGATTTCCCCTCCCTACCCCTAACACTCGACGCCTAACCTCAATATTGCTTACCTTATTACACCTATCACTTAACATGGGAGGCAGATACAACAGAGACATCTATGATCCAAAGACAGCTAGCCAGTCGGGCTTTTCATGTCTTCCATTTTCAATGACCTTGTCTCACTGACAGCCATGAAGGAGACCAAGCGAACTGATGAGTAGTACACACGCCCTTTGGTCGACAGCCAGTCAGCTGGATATCACGTCTGAAAGTATACACCTAGAATCGTTAACCTTATCCTACTAATCTCTTCATCTCAATGCAATATGGTGATATATTGCTCGATGTTTTACAGACTCATGTGTGTAATTTTGTATTTAATACTATATACTGATATCATTTGTATGTAGTAGTAGTAGTAATGTTTACGAGTTATTAGAGATTTTTGATTTCAACCTCACCGTGGTTATAGTGTTTCTCTACATCTTATCAATATCCCTTTTCATGCTATACTCTGATGAAATCTACCTTCTTGAATTGCACATTACAATATTCTGCTTTCTAATCATGCTATTCTATTTGAAAATTAGTATTTCAGTATATATTTTTGTTTTCATTGGCTCTTTGGTGTATATGATGAGTGCGCATAGAATGTACATCTCAGTTAGGAAGTGTCCTGATTTAAATATTGATGGCTATGCAAGAATTTTCAATACAAACGTCAAGTCAGTTCTTCTTTACGGATCAGAAACTTGGCGGCGGGTCACAAAGAATATTTCCAACAGCCTGTTGCAGACCTTTATCAACAACTGTCTTCGCTCTATACTCAATCAAGATCAGATAGCCGGAAAGAATCACCAACAAGAAACTATGGGAACAAACAAAACAAGATCCAATCACTCAACAAATATGCAGGAGAAAGTGGAGATGGATTGGACACTCGCTGAGGAGGCCGCTGGGTGACATCGAGCGTCAGGCCAGTGCACGAGTGGAACCCGAAAGGGAAGCGGTGAGTGGGACGTCTACGGAGGGTGACATGGAGGAGATCGTGTGAAAAGGTGTTGAAACAGTATGGACTAACATGGATGCAAGTGAAAAGTACAGCAGAAGACAGTAGCAAGCGGAGACGTGTAGTTGAAGCCCTATGTTCCACTAGGAACCCAAGGGAACAATAATAATAATTCAAGAATTTTGTCATTAGACGATAATCTATTTGTGATATCTGCGCGTTATGCATCAGTTGTATTTATGAAGCAACTTCCATTTCAAATATAAATTTGATAAAAGTTAGCCTCCTAAGGCTTACAATTCCTTGCATTTAATACTCAAGAGTTATTTTACTTTCACAACTTGGTATTAGATGGTTGGAGGCAATCGGTCACAGGAAGCCTTGAGCCTAGGTTTCGTGCTAGTTTGCACTCACTGGTCAGTAAGGCGTATCTGCAGTTACCTTGAAAGAATTCATGTCCCACCCATCTGAGATTCGAACCCACGTCTACCAGTGCTGCAAATTAGAGACTTTACCATTGAGCTATACGGGCTCACGATTGACCTCCTGTAGGACTGACTGTATTAGACACTAGTAACTGACTAGTGTCCAATGAAAAAACATTTTAATAAGTGCATATTAACATGAAACTATTGAAAATACATTTTACTGTTATCAATTAAAAATTGTTCTTAAAGTTTCGTCCTACAATGATATGTGTTCACTATTCACAGAGGTGATGAAGTCTTTGTGCACAGTAGGCTAATGGACTCTGGCAGTGAGCGAACCAACACAGCAGGAACCGATTGTGAAACAAATAGGCAGGAAGAAATGGAGATGGATTGGCTGGCCATACTCTGAGGAAACAATCCATCAAGTGACATCACTAGACAAGCCATTGCTCGAGTGGAACTCGAAAGGGAGGCGGCGAGTTGGTCGTCAGTGCAAGGGTGACTTGGAAGAGGTAATGTGAAGAGGAGATGAAAACGTGTGGGCAGACTTGGAGCCAGGTGAAGACTCTAGCAGAGAAGCGAACGCAATGGAGACGCACGGCTGAAGCCCTATGTTCCTCTAGGAATTAAAGGAAACAATAATGATAACATAATAATAGGCATTTGAATTATTGTGCTTAATCAAATATAGGATCAGAGTTCAGGGAATGTAAATTACTGGATAACAATCGAGGTAATAATAATAACGAGGATAAATTCATTCAAGTGTTTATACAACCTACGCAATGGTGAGTGAATAGGTAGAATTTGCATACTAGTGGGTGTAGAGGGGAAGATAACTGTTGTCACATAGCGACTAGATAATATAATAATAGTAATAATAATGATAAATTGTGAACCCGAGATTAAATTGTACAATTGCGGCACAGGTAAAGGGTAAGCTACCGAGTTTGACCAATTCAATGTGTATTTATAAGTATGACTGTTCATGTGAAGACAGTCACATAGGTAGAACGACTGTCGTCCTCTTCATCAGTGTTCAAAGTGGTTGGGTAAAAGAGAGCAGTAAAGATATTATTATTTGGCCTCACCTTGTAGATGATATTGACAGGCAACTCTGGTGAAGCTACTTGGATTGCGTTCATCAAATGCTCGAGAATCGAACTATTAAGATCATCTACAGGGTGAAGCTAACTGGTTCGAAGGGTGTCAGGTTTTGGCATTTGTGTGTGGCGGAAGCGCTGGCATGTCGTCAATACAACCCCGAACTCTGTATACGGGAAAAGTGTGTCCAGTCTCTTATTCCACCATGCTCTTAACCTCTTCATTTGTCGTTCCCTGAAAATTTTTTTATCATTTAATTTTGCTTTTAGTTTAATAATTAATTCACTGTTATCACTCTCACGTGTTCCTTTTGTACATTTTCTCACCCTCTTCACACTTGTTAAGAGAACACTCAACCACTTTTCCTCTTACTACTCAATAACAATTTTAATCTTATCAAA